ATGTACTTGGCCGCTGCCTTGCCTGCAACACGGCCAAACACCACGCAATCCAACAAGGAGTTGCCGCCCAAACGGTTGTTGCCATGGACTCCTCCTGCAACCTCACCTGCTGCATACAAGCCAGGAATTGCCAGATTGTTGGAGCCAATGCAGGCCGAATCTGTGTCAATCAGCAAGCCACCCATGCAGTAGTGAATGACAGGAGTGATGATCGCAACGTAAAACGGCTCGCTCTTCACAGCTGAACCTGGAATGATGTTGTGATAGAACTTCTTGCCACTTCCGGTCTTTCCGCTGGCCTTCCAGGGTGGTGTTCTTTCCCAATATCTGTGAATCGAAGACCCAATTCTTGGCTCCAACACATAAAGACATCATGAAGAACCAACATCAACCCCCAAAGGCAAGCCAATGCATCAACCCAAGCATACCCAAGTAATCTTCGCCTCATCCCAAGACTTTCCAGATGGATAAGCAGGCCAGGGACCAGCATCTGGTTGTGTCTCAGTCTTCTTAGCAGCTTGGTAGTGCTCCTCATGGGTCTGTTCGATCACCTCCAGTGCCACCCCCATGTCCTTGGCAAGATCCTCACCACTGGAGTAGAACTTCATGACCTCGGGGAAGTGACTCTTCGGCTGTTCGGGGACCACAGAGCCATTTTGGAACCCGTTGGAGACTTGCCCATTGGCTCAAGTGGGAAACCATGAGAAACCCGAAATCACTCTCACTTCCCCTCTTGGACATTTTAAGGCTCACAGTTCCCCAACTAACTGAGCAGCAGCCAACCCGAAAAAAAAGAGGGAACAACCAAGCTCCTGACTCCTCGTCCAGTGTAATGCCTACAGTCCACTCAAGATTCAGGTATCATGACTGTAGGAAATCTTGTTCACGAGGTCAAATATCTCACAACATCTCGAAGTTGAAAATGAAATGTCAACATGGGTCAAATATGCCACTGTTGAAAATGATATCCCATGAATTCCCATGATTATCTCTGATGAAATGTCACTGTTCATCGGCATGTCCGCTGAGTTCAGTGCTTGCAATGCCAGATGATCTCATCTGAGGCCGCCTTGTTCAAACAAAGCCTGCACGGACCGCACGGCACGATCGAGTGACAAAAAATCTCTCAAGGAATACCTGGACGTGCAGAGAATGTCTGCAGAAAATATGAGAAAACTGCAGCATGCTCAGCATGCGCAGCTTACCTGAAAGGAGGTTTGCTCTTCCACATCTCGCCGGTGACATAGTCACGGCCTGAGGTCAACTGCAATCAACTGCAATCAGTTTCATTTCATTTCATTTCTGACCTGCTTCAATGGCGCTAAGCCCTGGACGTCCAAGCTCGTTGCAGAAGCGCTTGCCTTCCGCGTTCAGGATGATGCCACCCACGCCGCGCAAGGCCTCCAAGGGGAAATGAATTTCAGACTTTGAGATATGTAATGATATGTATCTTGAGTAATCTTGAGTATAGTTGTTTTTTGCTTTGTTTCTCCTTTCCTCCTTGCAGGCAGTGTAACTTCCGATTCATCTTCCCACATCCTGAAGTTGCCAATTTGCAAGTGCCATTCCTTCGCCATTGCCTCGGCCGCCAGGAACTTGATCTTGGCATCGGCATCGTCGGGCTTCACCAGACCGGTGGGGTGCACCTGGACCCACTCCAGGTCGATGCTCTTGGCGCCAATGGCCTGCAGAACTGCAGAAATATTCAGAAATGCTGAGCCGATAATCGAGGCGATAGTTGATGGTGATAAGGAACGGTTGCAGATGCAATGAGAATCCCAGATATGCTGATATGATGTGTTATTATATTATAATATAATAATATATATATATAATATGATTGGTAGTGCAACCCAAAAAAAACATCAACCAACTGGGTTTTTTGAAACTGCTCACTATGGTTTGGGCTCAAATCAGCACCTCGCCCATCTTGATCCCATCACCGGTGCAGTGCTCACCGTTGGTGGTGGGAAGATGCAGCAGGTCCGGTCTGTACTGTGCCAACAACGAATTGCTGGTGAAGTCGGCACCAAAACCACCTGCAAGAAAGGAACCAAACAAAATGAAGATGCAGTAGATATGAGTAAAACGAAAGATCTTGAAGTCAATCAACTTGAAGTCTCTAAAAGGCCACAGGATGTGTCCAAAAACAACCCCGCCTGAAGCCAAAATCACAGGTCCAAACTCCTGGAAGTTCTGGCCACCCTTCTCGTAGACACAGCCCACGCAGGCGTTGCCTTCAGTGACCAACTTGAAAACCTTGGCCTTCGTCACGATACGAGCCAGGTCGGTCTTTTCCGCCACCTGCATGCGCAGCTGCATGGTGGGAATGAGTGGTTGCTAAAAAACATGATGAAAAACGTGCTTGCATTCTTCAAGAGAGTCGACAAGCATCTTCACAGATTTCACAGCAGGTTGCGTATGTTGTGTCACTTCCATGTCCTCCACGTCTCAGCTGGGCCTTCTCCAACATTTGGATCAAGGCGTAGGTGATGGTCATCCCTGGGAATCGCTCCTTGCCTCGATGGGTACGGGGCTGCGAGTGTCCTCCAAGACGAGCTACCAACGACAGATCCAAATTGAACTTCTCCACCAGCCAGTCCTGAGAGAGACGTCTGACTACTGACGGACATGAACTGGTGCCATAATGATGTTTGTCCAAACATGGGGAACCCCTCAAATCCAATGGTTGATCTTGTTGCCATCAAAACACTCCCAGTTTCAGGAGGAAACTCGCATCCCAACTGAGTTAGGAAGGGGATCCCAGTTAGACCGTTGGCTACAAGCTGAAAATGCAACCGGCTGACCACATCTGCAGCGCTGTTGACGCAAAGTAGCCTCAGCGGCCAGCGGCTCGGCATTTGCCCAGGAATGGGGGAATCCAACTCCCAATAAGGTGCCATGTATCCTGGTGTTGTGGCTCCTGAGCCAAGGTTGTGTACTCAAAACAGGAAGGTTGTAACATAACTCAAGAAGAATATGGGTGTGTGAAAATGGGGTATACCCCAGTTTAGGGCAATTTTAATAGGGAAGGTAATGATAAACCCTTTGGAAGCACCTTCGTACGAAACCTGCAGTTCCAAGCAACTTGGCCAACTCTGGCTTTTTGGCACCACCTTTCATGGTGTCCTGGGGTGGCCAGCCGAAGCTGGAACCAGGAATCAGGAACCAAGGAACGTTACTAGCGCTCCCCCCACCCCACCCACCAACACCTCAGCATGGAAACTAGAATCGATGTATGCAAATTGAAAAATCGCTACGACTATATACATGTTCCATTTCTGGTTCCTAAGCAATCCAAGCATATTCGTGTTGCGGATTCCGGAAATCCGCAGGGTTGATTCGTGGTGTCTCATGCGGCCCTTTGGTGTCTGAGTTTTCTCTGGTGTCCTGTGTAAAGATTTCCGCGTTGTCCGGAATGCCCTTCGCTTTCTGAGTCTTTGTTCCTACACTGCAACACAACATGGACCAAATCGCCCAATCATGGAATGGTAAACTGACTCCACACTGTTCACCACAAACGAAATCATAAAATCCTTGCCTGCACCATTGATTCCAGAAGTGGCCTTCGTGCTGTTGCCGCCACAAAACGATGATTTGTCCTTGGATGAAAGCTTGCAACAAAGCCACTCTTGATAAGAAAGAACAAAAAAACAACTCGCAACATCTCGCAACAACTGAAATTGTCAGTCCCCTGCAAAAGTCTAGTAGACGCTGCAGTGGGACACCATCCAGATACAAGTAGATCGCAGCAGTGTAGAATTTGTCACCAACAGAAACATGATTAAAACATAGGGTATATAATTATAGTTATATAATGATACATAATATATAATTAGATTCGACATCAGCTCAAGCATGGTTTTTTGACGTCAACCGTTACTTCCCCGTTGCACCCAAGTCGCCAGCAGAATCACTCGGCCGCCGTTCTCCACGACGGTGTTGGCTGCTGACATACCTCCCAGACCGCCACCAACGACAATGGCCTGATTCGTTGGAAACGAAGCTGCCATGGCGCTGAGGACAAAACCTGAGCTGCGGGAGTTTGTCGGATTTTTTCGGGCAATGGGGGCATAGGGATATTAACATTGACAATTGGGGGGTATAATAATGGTATGACATAGTATAACATTACATCTGGGTACATAGAACTGGGATATGATATTATTGTAAAATATTGTAAATGTGTATAAATGTGATAATCCCAGTTGAGGGATTCACCAGGCTTCAACAAACATCTGTTAACCAGCTAGGTACGATGATCAGATGATCCTCCAAGCAGTTCATCTTGTCAAACGTGGCATCTGGGGCTCCGGCTGTCCCACTATGGAACAAAACACCTCGGAGTCTGTTCGTTGCACAACCGGCTACTTCTCAAAAATCAATTTGGTCACCTGTGGTACGAAACTATCTGTTTTTAGGGGTTCAAAAAGAAATGACCCATATGATTCATATGATCCATATTATGGATTTGTCTGAAAATAGGGTACCTAAGCTACCCCTAGATCCATGGGTTAATCATCATTCTCCATCATTTTCCAGTATGTTCCATATGAAAATGGCTAATCGGCTAATTGACAAGGATCTCCCCACCTTTCAGCCCCATCCTGCCACATCCTGCCAAGCTGCGCGGTTTGGCACAGAGCCTTGGACCCTTCAAAAAAAGACTGCGGCCAGCGATCAAAAACCAGCGGCGTGTTGGGGATGAAAAAATTTGGGAGGATTCATGGAGGCTTCCCCATCAAAAATATATGAAACATATGAGGCAAGGGATCAACAACCAACCAGTGATATGTTCCCTTCAGCCCATCAGTCAAGGTGGCCATCCAGCTGCATGAAACCATCCAGCTGTCTGAAATTGGTGGATTCCCCAGCCAATTGGACCAATGGATTTCGGGATACCCTGGGATATCCGAAAATGCTTCAGAGCCCACTGGATGAGACTCAAGTCTGGGACATCCCAGATTCTGAATGCCCAACCAGATAGGATAGGCCCGGTATTTTTCTCGCGTGACGACACGTGCATCTAGAATTTGGCTGACTTAAAAAGGAATGATTCTTCGCAAACGTTGCAGACATCTTGGCCCAAAATTGCTTAAAAGGCTCAGATCAAAAGATGCTGCACGTGTACGCGGAACAACTGCGACTTTGGAAGTGAAGAATGAGCTTCACTTGAAAAAGCTCTACATGAAACTTTTGGGAGACAAGTGTAGCATAGTGTAGCGCCAGCCTACAGTGACTGCGGTCGATGATCCTGCAAGGTAATGTCTGCAAGGCGCAAAGGCAACATTGGTTGGTCTCATCCCGTTTGGAAGCGCATATTTTTTCCATTAAAATCGCCATTGGGGAGATATCATGATCCCTTCATCCGTTTGGTAAACGCAGCCGCACCAACATGTGGAGTCGCAAACATTTCTGATATCCCACCTCTGGAAGGCAATCACATGTTTGCCTATCCTGAGGCAAGGATCTGACGCAGCCATTTTGACGAAATGAATCAACTCTTGGATTTAAGATGATTTTAGGTATGCTGCCCTATTTTTCAGACAAACCATGACAAGCCACCCATATACTTAACCGAGCCTATAGTACCATCTTGCTTTCCGGTTTCAAGAATTCTTCTTGCTCTATTCCAGCAGGCCATGATTCCGGGACAATGGAAAACTGGCAGCACCCCTTACTTGCAGCCCGGCGGCAGAGTTTTCTGTGGATCTACTCGACCCTGCCAGGAATCTGGATGCTATCCTCGTAGCCTTGAGATCGAGCGGAGAGAGAGAGAGAGAGGGATCAAGAATTCATCAATCCAAACATGCTATGGGAAGGGTCTGGGAATGGCCTAGGGAATGGTCTGGGAATGGTCTCAAAATCAGGAGTTTCAGTACCAAGCACCAGACCACTGAAGGGCTTGGTCGCCATGACGTACAGCGGGAATGAAATGTACACAAGTCCCATGATGATCATGATGGCATAGCCTAGGATCTCTACTCGCGCAATGTGCCCTCGAGGAATACCCAGCACAGGTGTCACTTTCTTCCAGCCCAAGCAGGCATGGATCATGAAGACACCCACTGAGAAGATGTAGAAGAAGGACCACAATGGGTTCTTGAAGATCTGGAATTCTAGAGCCTCGGCAAAGTTACATAATGACTCATCGAAAAATCCCATTCAAGTTCAGTTCAAAGGCGACAACAGAGTGAAGTCTTAAAGATGCCGCCTGCCTGGACACGTGCTGACAGCATGTCTTGTAAACTTGTACGTCTTACCAACAAATTCCAGTGCTTCTACCAATTCAGCAACTTAGGCTTCAACGTAGATGTCTCTGACGCCGACTGGCTCTACGTATGACGCATCCGTCCAGAAGAGGTTCAAAGACAAAATGCCCCAGAAGTTAATCAAATAGGGAGGTGGGCGGATGTAGTAGGGGCCGAACTGATCCGTGTCACCAAATCGGAATTGGAACAAGTGAATGGTCATGAACGTCAAGAGCATCAAACCGGTGATGGCAAGGTTCAGGACGTTGATGCCTTGTGAATTGACCAAAGCAAGCTTCATGTCCCAAGTCCTTTTCAAACCAACAAAAACGTGCAGCAAAACGGACAGGAGGATGTACTCCTCAACGATGTTGGCAGGAAGTCCGAAGCCCGTCCAGTAGAGTCGCACGTAGAAGTAGCCGTAGCCGTTGAAGTCATCGGGACCTCTTCAACACCGAAGCCGCAGCAAAAACAGTCAAGAAAAGATTGAGAGAACTCACAGGTGAGGCGTGAGAAACAGAGAGAAACTGAGAGAAACTGGAAAGAAGTCCCACGGAGTTTGCCACAGAAACCATCCAAATCCTAAGTCTTTGGCCCTTGAACACGTGAAGGTTTCCAACAGCATGGATTACAATGAAGAGCACGAGCAGAATAGCACTGCGAGTCAAACCAAGGCGATCATTGGAGATCTTGATGTTCTTTGCAGAAAAGATCGTTGCACCAACTTCCTCAGTGCACAGAGTCGCAGAGCGACGATTCTTTCTGCTGTACGTTGCTCTTCTTGTCTTTGTCTTCTCCTTTCTCGTGTTCCTTTCCTTTTTTGTCTCTAAACCTATGGCAAGGTCCAGAAGAGGTCCGAAACAATTGAGATCTGAAACGGTTCTCCCAAAATCATGCGAGTAAAACCCAAGTAAAGTTTCTGACTGTACAGTGACCGACAAGTTCCCGCAGGCAACATAGGCACGGAATGACAACAATGCAGTGCAAGTGCCAACAAGCATCGTACAACATGGCAAGCACCAAGAACCAGGTGGCATTGAAGTACGACTTGATGTTCAAGATAAACACACCTGCTGGGTCCGGAGATTAGCATTGAAAACCTTCTTTAAAATATTAGAGAACATTAATTTGACATTGATCAGATGTCATAAATCTCTGCATCCATCGGTGAACACAACAAATCCAGGGCCTGGATTGTCATCGATGTCTGTTCGCCAGTTGGGATGGGTGTCACCATCGAGGTGACCCCAGGCCTGGTGGTTGGACAAGGCACCACCCTTGTCTTTCCTGCACGTGCCGCTGACAAGCCACCGATTGACAAGCCACCGATTGACAGCACTGTGTAACTTAGTTGCAGAGATAAGTTCTTAAGATTCTGAACACTTCTGAAAATGGAATCTGCAGGTGGATGTAGATCAGGTGAATCAATATCTAGACTGTGATTGGGTTCTACATGTGTATATATATATATATGATATATATGTGTGTGTGTATGTATATGTGTGTGTAATTATGTATGTGTATGTGTGTGTGTCCATCAATTTTTGACAATCTGATGTTTTTTGTCAAGGAGATCGGCATGTTCCTGCTGGGTGAACTAGAAAACTGCCCTATGGCTTCCTATGGCCTATAGCCGGACTTTCGAAGCACTAAGCATGACTGAAGAATACCGGTGCTCATGGGAAGCATCAACGTTTTTAAGATGACTCCATAAGCCCTCAACACAGCCCTGTCCTTGCTGGGGCACCTCCCGCTTTGGCTGCACCACCAGCGACAGGGGCAGCAACACCGCTGCCAACATTGCCGATCACAGAGTCTGGGGCATACTTGCCAATGACATCTGGCGGATGGATCCTTTCATAGAGGAGGCTTTGCAGCACTTGCACATGAACGTAAAGAATAAAATACTGCACAAGCAGCAACAAACATATACTCGTCTCAACATGCTCCTGGATACTCCATACACCGTGAACTAAGTGTACATGTAAGGCATATACCATGCCTACCCAACCTTTGTGCAAAAGGTGAACAGTTCAAAGTCAACACCGAGTGTCATGTTGAACTCCTCTGTGGCATCCTTGCCAGCAAAGGTTAAGATTGCAAGCTCACCACCGGGATGCTCCGACAAGAAGGAAGTCACATCGAGCACCTGTCCATCCACCACGACCCAGCAATCAGTCTTGCTGTTGTGCTTGGCCACTTCGGTCATGGGAATGCCTGGCGCACCACCAGCAGCAGGTGCACCCCCTGCAACTGCGCCACCGCCTCCGCCACCGCCGATCATGCCGATCACGGAGTCGGGAGCGTACTTGCCAATCACATCCGGAGGATGGATCCTAATGCACAAAGAGGGAGGACAAATGAAGAAAGCACCAGACAAGAAAATGAAGGAAGAAAACTTGAAGAAGATCTAAAGTCCAAAGACTCTTGGCAAAACTTGAACTCCCTGTCGATTCATCCAAGTCTCATGTTGAATTCCTCTGTGGCATCCTTGCCCGCAAAGGTCAAGATTGCAAGCTCACCACCGGGATGCTCGGACAAGAAGGAAGTCACATCAAGCACCTGTCCATCTACCACAACCCAGCAGTCAGCCTTGCTGTTGTGCTTGGCCACATCAGCCAAGCTGATGCCACCTCCACCACCACCGCCTGCAGCTGGTGCAGCAGCCGCCGCAGCAGGAACTGCCGCAGAGTTCATCTTATCCTCGTACGAGCCACCTGCCAACTTGGAGCTCTCCACTGCTCCTGTGAGGCCTCCACCAGTCACTTCTCGAAGGTCCACATCTTTCATGTCTGCACCCAACATGTACTTGGCCGCTGCCTTGCCTGCAACACGGCCAAACACCACGCAATCCAACAAGGAGTTGCCGCCCAAACGGTTGTTGCCATGGACTCCTCCTGCAACCTCACCTGCTGCGTACAAGCCAGGAATTGCCAGATTGTTGGAGCCAATGCAGGCCGAATCTGTGTCAATCAGCAAGCCGCCCATGCAGTAGTGAATGACAGGAGTGATGATCGCAACGTAAAACGGCTCGCTCTTCACGGCTGAACCTGGAATGATGTTGTGATAGAATTTCTTGCCACTTCCAGTCATTCCACTGGGCTCATCCCAGGATTTTCCTGACGGATAAGCAGGCCAAGAGCCACCATCCGGATCTGTTTCCGTCTTCTTGGCGGCTTGGTAGTGCTGCTCATGGGTCTGTTCAATCACCTCCAGTGCCACGCCCATGTCCTTGGCAAGGTCCTCACCACTGGAGTAGAACTTCATGACCTTGATGCCAAGATTTGAATTCCAAGACTTTCACCCCAACTTTCCTATGTCTTTCAACAGCATTGACTCAGGTTAACTCCCTCAGCACAAAATAGCCAAGTCACACCCCGGCCAGTGTAGTGCCTCGGATTGTTAGCACAGGCCACTCATCTTCCAAACTTGACATCGTTTGAGTGCCCGGCTTGCAGTGCCAAATGATCTCATCTGAAGCCGCCTTGTTCAAGCACAACCTGAGCAAACAGACAGCAAATCATCCTTCACCCACACCCAACTCTTTTCGTACAACATCCATGCCTGAATGGAGGTTTGCTCTTCCACATTTCTCCGGTGACATAGTCGCGACCTCAGTCAATGTAGCCTGCATAATGTGCCAATGAACACCCTTCATGGGGATAAAATCAGCAAAAATAGCGCGTATACTCCTGATGTTTTACTGTATATCAGCCCCAGTTTTTCTGAAGATCCGACGCTGGGGCCCACACGTCCAAGCTCGTTGCAAAATCGTTTTCCCTCTGCGTTGAGGATGATGCCGCCGACACCGCGGAGGGCCTGACCGGACGACGAAGTTGGGAAATCCCTAACTGGAAGCCATGGTGAAATTACCCAAGACATTGGTTGGGTTTCTTGTAGTTTTTCCTTGAACCAATTCTAGATATTCTAGGATTCGCTGTTAGTATCAATGTGCATCTGTAATGTTTGTATGTTTTTTGTGTATGTTGACACAATATTATATATATATATATATATATTAATATATATACATATATATATACATATATATATATATGTATACATATTGCAACGGAAATTTGGGCTCGCTAGTTCAATGCAGCCCAGCGCACCTTTTCTCCTCAGCGCTCTGCTTCAAAGGTAAACCAAAAAGGGCTGCGGTGCATGAACATGAATCATGCTACCTAAGAGGAACAGATCCTAGGTACACCCTATACACCAACACGCCTCCCGAGGGGAACGTGACTCAGGTCTGTTACCCGAGCTTGGTGTAAACTGTCTCAGATTCGTCACCAGGCTCAAGCCCTTCGGTCTAAATATCGAGAGCTAGACCATGTCGTCCAGTTGCATAGAAGTAGTTCATGCCCTCGAGTAGTGTACGGACTCGTGCTTGATCTAAGGGTTTCGTGAGTAAGTCTGCCAACATCTTCAGGGTCGGTTGTTTGCCCAGAGATATGCGTTTGGCATTGACTGCGTCCTGGACCCACAGAAAGATGGTGTCCAGATGCTTCACTCTTCCAAGTCCGTGTCTTGAACCTATTGATAAACCTGTAGTTGAATCCATCCAGATGTGAATGGGGAACCACAGTCCCCAGTCTCGAAGGACTGACTGCTCACCAAGGGCATTGCATGCTGCAGATGTAAGCGAATAATATTCCGCTTCTCCGCTAGAGAGCGCGATCAGTTGTGCTCTTCCGAGTTCGCAAACATCCAGCGTGATCTGCATCACACCAAACCTCTAGGCGATGCGCGGTCTGTTGAAACGGAAAGAGGTGGATGAGTCTCGGTTTGTTCTTTAAGTACCGAGCGCCACGTTTGAGCATCATCCAATGAGCTTTGGTAGGATTCTTCAACCCTTTTGCTAACTCCTTGGCCAGCACCTGTAGGTCTGGTCTGTCTTGTGCCAAATAGGCTAGCCGCATACTCACCGAACGATACCTAGGTACCTCTGAAGGTTCGAGAGGTTCAGAATTCTCCACTTCCTCCAATCTTTCTTTGACCAGAGCCGTAGTAACTTTGGCTCCATCGCATCCCATTTCGCGAATGATGAGTTCAGAATGGCGGGGGTCTGCTTCCAGTTCAATCCCTCGCTCAGTCCATGTCACCAATCGGTTCAGAATGTCAATGCTTTGCTTGGTTCCAGGCATCCCTGGCGGACCCAAATAACCACGATTTTCCACCGTCCAGTGTTTTCCAAGTTCTGTAGCGAACCACTTCAACTGATCCTGAGCGCCAAGACCAGTGAAGTCGTCTCCATGGACTTCCACTCTGATACCTCGAACTGGATGAAAGTAAAGGCAACTGTTTGACCTTCCTTGCACAAATCCCAAGAGGGTCATTACGCGAAGGATCGTCGCCTCCCAATTGGCTGGCGCATCTCTGGTCCCATATAGGGACTTTTTCAGAAGTCCTACGAACTTCTGCGTATCAACACCAGTTTCAATTGGTAACTCCACCAGGATGCGTCTCCGGGCATCTGCCCAGAAATGGGCTTTCTTAATATCCAGGGAAATTAAGCACTGATTGCGGGGCAATTCCTGCATTCGGCCATCCAATCCTGGTACTCTCCGAGTGGTGGCCAATGCGAACAAAGTCCGCAGTGCACTGATTGGCGGCATAGATGCGTAGAAATCTTGCCATGACGGTGTGTGTGGATCCGAAGATACTCCACTACGGAACGTCTTTTTCAGCTCGCGTGCCACCAGTCGGCTGCGATACTTTGGCTGACGTTCGTCTTTCTTGTTGATGTCAACCCATCTGGTCGATACGGTCTTTTCGTTCTTTGGGCGTGGGATCACTTCCCACACTTGCATCTCTTTGATGGTGGACAGCTCCTCCAAACGGGACTCGCGAACAAGTTCCGGTTTCAGAGGTTTCCCCGATATATCGTCATAGTATGACGTCTCGAATTCCTCATACCCACTTGTGTCGAATTTCTCTTCGCACACTGGATAAGGGTCTCCGGCGACAGAATTAAGAAAACCTTGTCGCAAGCTGAGTAAGAAGTTTGTCACCATCGCATCTTCTGTCTCTGCAGGCCTTTTCCGAGAAGTGGCTGACTCCTCGGAGACTTCCATGTTCTGTGGTTGTGAGACACTTGAGCTAGGGCCAGATGCTGAAGCAGCACTCTGACCGCTGGTTGCTCCTGGACCAGGTGTCGAAACGACACTCTCATCCGGTGACACTCTCGCTTTCTTTGCACTTTCGCTATGAATCTTCTTGTGAGGACTCGCCTCCTGACCATTAGTCTCTTCCGCGTTTCTCTTCTCTGTCAATCCTGACCCGGACCTGGGACCGGGTACCGACACGGTACTCCGATCCTTGGACCCTCCGTCAGGCTGTTCCACCTTCCGAGCCTTGACGGGCCCTTCCTTGCGCTTGGCAGCTTCCAAACGCTTTCGACCTTCTGCGGTTTCTTCCAATTTCTCCACCAACCTCGCTCGGCAAAATTCCGTGTGGTGGACTCCTTCACGTGAAACACCGGCGCGAATTAAATCACACGCCGGACAGGACGCTGTGTATCCATGTTTGTCCAAATCCGTTTGACGGAGGTAGACGCGCCGTGGCGCCTCACTCCTTTCTGCCGGTACGGCCTCCTTTGCAGGCTCGTCTGGCAATTCTGGCTCAACCGTGACTGCTTCCGGCAGCTCCTGCGCTTCCTCACCAGGGACTGGCGCCCATGGCGTACCCTTGACCTTCTTGAACAAGTCAGGGTCCCAACGAAGCTCCTTTGGCTTCCGTCTGATTGATTGCACGACCACCACGCCGTTCTCAGTAGCGACAACCTTTTCCGTAGTATTGAGTCTGATGCCACAAAAGATACCTGTGGACCACCGTGCCTCCAACTTGTGCTTCGTTCGCACTCTGTAGTCCACTGCCTCTCCCCAAGGGGGCAGCGACACCTGCCAATCACGTCCCTTCAGTCTACGGAACGGTGTCAGGCCATCCTTCATTGTATCATCATGGGCATACAAAGTGTACATGTTGCCCGCATGCTCGATCAGCCAAGCCAACATTGGTGACTTGGGGTCGATAATTTCTCCCATGCCTATTTCACAGGCATCCTTGTAAGTTCTGCACAACCCCTGGGTGATCTCAACAGCTGCCTCGGCTTCCCCGTTGGATTTCCCATGATGATCTCCCTTAGGAGAGTTCTCCAGTTGCACCCTTACGTTTGAAGATGCAAACGCATTCTTTACAGCATCTGCGACAGCCTTGATTGAAGGCTCCTGATCACTCTTGATGACCAGGCTTGGGTACCCTAGGAACTTCAAGTCCCTACACAGTGCTTGTTCTGGGTAGAAGTGTTCCGCACCTTTGGACGGAACCAAGTGTGTGAACAGCGCTTTGCTCTTGCGGTCTCTCACCACGAGAACTGGCATCTTTGCTCCCCCAACTGCATCGGAGGGCAATTCACCTGGGGCTCCGAAGAACCCATAGTCTATGCTGATGACCGGATTTTTTTCTGGATCATCGGATCTCACGACCCGACGATGGGCATAGCTCTTTCCACGTCCTCGTACGCAGTGCGAACACCATGCCCTGAACGGAATATGACTAACTGCATGAGCTTCGATTTCTTCCGGGCTTGGAAGGCAGGGTGCTCTAATTGGCTTCGCCTTCCTGCCTTCTTCTGGTTCAACCACTGGTTGTCCATCCTCTAAATCTCCGAAAATCCAATCTTCGAAGAAATCATCATCAACTTCGGCCTCACCATCCAAAGGGGCCGTATGTCCAATAGGTTCCTGAGGGCCCGAGCCGACGCGGCTCTGCACCCCCGAAGCGGGACCGGAGCTGAAGCAGCTCTCGGTCCTCTGCTTAGAATTTGGTCTTACAGGCAACTGTGGCCCTGCCCGCTGAAAGGGCTGGACCTCTTTGACACCTTTGCAGAGTCTATCCATACTGGTAGAACATAGACGCCATTTCGCTGAAAGATCCGGTGAATACCTTCACTCTTGGTCTCGAGGTAACTGACCTTTGGGGATAGGACAACTTTGTTTCCTTGGTTGACCATCTGACCAACTGAGATGAGAGGTTGTGAGATGTTGGCGACAGCCATTCTCATTCCAACCTCCTCGTTGCCCATAAGCCACGCTTTGGCTACCAATGTGCCCTCATTCGGCACAAGGCTCCCATTGGCCAACTTGAAACTGTGATACCCCACGGACTCACCAAGCTTCACCTTGCCCACCAATTCCTTGGGAATGGTGCTTGCACTTGCACCGGAGTCGATGACGAAGTCGATCCGTGTCCAACCAGGGTATTTCTCTGAAGAGTTGTCACCGTGACCAGAAAAGGAAGTCAAGTGGCCAATGCCTCCAGGTCCACCGGTCTTCTTCTCCTTTAGTCGTTGCTCTCTGCGTCTTTCTCTCTTGTGCTTAGCCTTCTTCTGCTGTGAGGTCTTCTTCCTTGCCGACGGCGGAAGTTGCTTTGTTCGTGCCGTAGGCGGCGGCAACTCAAGGAAAGCCGTTTCCTCTTCCTCAAGCAACGCTGTCCTCGCCTTCTTGGACAATGGTGCTGCTTGGACTTCATTTGCCAAGACTCCTTCAGCTAAGGGGAAAACTTGCACCTTTCGACCAGTGCCAGGCCGATTGAAGCGTCGATACCACTCTTCTTCTCTTTCAAGCCTTTCCTCAGTCCTTTCAGCCTGACCGGCCAACCTATGACTGCACGTTTCCTTGACCTTTCCTTGACGTAGGCTAAACGACGTCCCAAGGCTTCATTGTCTCGCTCCTGTCTTGCAGAATGGCCTCTTCGTTTCTTTCTTCGAAAGGCTCTCTGCTCGCCTTTGAGACCTTCAATCTCAAGTTCCAGATCTGCAACGTTGTTCAAGACGGCCTCATCATGTGCTCCTTTGTCATCCAAGGATTGACGGAGTACCTCTAGTTCATCAATCCTCTTCGATATCCGCTCTCCTAGGACAATAGACCTTGAAGCGTTGTTCACTTGGTACGGCGCTGCCTTGGAGGATGAAGAGCCACCGGCACGACTCTCACCCTGGGTCTTCGCTTGCCTCTTGTGTGGCGGGACGTATTTTGCACCTAAAGCACCCGTCGCTTCAGAGATCTGTTCCGATCTCCTCTTGTGGGGTGGAAGGTACTTCCCAACTTGATCCGGCTCCTTAGCAGGAACCATGTTCTCCTCCACTGCCACTGGTGCTAGCTCTGTTCGGCCACGTCGTCTAGGAATCGGAGATCTAAGGCGATTTGGGGTCTTAGGAGCACGTGGCGAAGCAGGTACTGAAGCAGTACTCTCCTTCCCAAGGTCCTCAACGACGTCAACCTCGTAGACAGACTGCACACTCGTCACTGTCTCCGCTTCAGACTCTCCTCCTTCTTGTGCCTCGTCAGCCATCTCTTCCTCCTTGCTTGGCTCGGATCCCGCGTCCGAGTGAGCTTGCACCTCTGACAATACTTCGTCCTCCGATCTTTCTCCTGCTTCGTGCCTTCCTTCTGTTGCTTCTTCAGCTTCTGCTTCTTCTGAACCTTGCTCGGACTCAGGGGTCTGGTCGTGTTTCGAGTAGTCAGGTTCCCTTGGGAGGTAAATCCAAGTAGGCTTCTCATCGTCACAGTGGCCCGGCTTGCGCAGTGCAATTTCTTCTTCAGGAAATTCAGGCCTTATATAGTAGCCACGTTTGGCTTCAGCTTCCCAAGCTGCCCACTGTTGGTCATACAGGTGGCCCGGACAGTGCAGTTTACTACCCAAGTGACGTTCCAGATCCTTCACAGTCTTAAAAGTCTTTTGACGTCCTCCACAACCAGGCACTGGGCAACGATAACCAGCGCCAGCACCATACCGATCCTTCCTACACTCTGCCATGGCCACATCCTTGGGTCTGGACCAGAACCATGACAAGACTCCAAACTCAGGACGAACAATGGTCCTTGGAGTTTCTCGGTCCATAGGCGTGGGAGTCCGAGCTGAAGCAGCTCTGGGCTCCCGATGGGCCCGTGCTGAAACAGCACTGGATCCACCAACCACGCAGACAAGACCCAAGTCGCTCTCAGTCTCTGAGTCTGTCCTCCCTGGCCATTCCTGCGCACAAGCCTCTTCATCTTTCTTGTCTACAAGTCTCTGAGCACCGCATTCTCCACCATGGGAAGGTTTGCCAACTTCCTTTGACCCTTCTTTGCAGAGCTGATTGGCTGATGGTAATCCACCGTCCTGTTGGGAGCAGTCACTTGCCTCTACACGATCTTCCGAGATCACTTCTTGGGATACCTCCGCTTCTTCCTGCCATCGTCTTGCAATGTTTCCCATCTTCTGGCCTGATCTTGTAGGCCACGCTCCAGCGACTCAAACTTCTGTCGTGCACTGTGTGCCACTTGAGCCATTCCAGCTTGCATTGCATGCCACGCTTGCCCAAGGGGAAGTTCTAAGGCTGTGGTACCTGGTCCAAGTCTTGCTGTCCCTCTTCCTCCTGTTGGTGACTCCAACACCAAGTCCTATGCCAAACTCACTTGGCCAGGGCACGAACTGAACCAGCTCTGTGCCTTTGGAGCATGGGACTCATTTCGCTTGCCAGGCGCTTCCAGCTCCCAAACCAGGAGCTCCGCTACCATGCAACGGAAATTTGGGCTCGCTAGTTCAATGCAGCCCAGCGCACCTTTTCTCCTCAGCGCTCTGCTTCAAAGGCAAACCAAAAAGGGCTGCGGTACATGAACATGAATCATGCTACCTAAGAGGAACAGATCCTAGGTACACCCTATACACCAACACATATATATATATATACATATATATATATGATTTATATATGTGTGTTTGGATTTAGAAAGTTCAAACTGCGAGGTGTCAGTTCGATGTCTGACGCTGACCTCAGCCGCTAAGAACTTGATCTTGGCATCGGCATCGTCGGGCTTCACCAGACCGGTGGGGTGCACCTGGACCCACTCCAGGTCGATGCTCTTGGCGCCAATGGCCTGTAACAACACACCCAAAGTTGGCCAGAAATATCGATAAGGGTCACAGATAAGGTATCCATGGACCCATGGACCCCTAAATTTATTCACTGTTTGATCATCTTTGTTACTAGTTACTATGTATAGATTAGCCATCCATTTTGGGGAGCGATCATCTCAACCAAGAGCTCTATGGTCTATCTTGTCTTGCTTGACTCGCTTAACAGTGGCCTCGCCCATCTTGATCCCATCGCCGGTGCAGTGCTCACCGTTGGTGGTGGGAAGATGCAGCAGGTCCGGTCTGTACTGTGCCAACAACGAATTGCTGGTGAAGTCGGCACCAAAACCACCTGCCACAAAAGGAACCAAACAAAATGAAGATGCAGTAGATATGAGTAAAACAATTGAAAGATCTTGAAGTCAATCAACTTGAAGTCTCTAGAAGGCCACAGGATGTGTCCAAAAACAACCCCGCCTGAAGCCAAAATCACAGGTCCAAACTCCTGGAAGTTCTGGCCACCCTTCTCATAGACACAGCCCACGCAGACGTTGCCTTCGGTGACCAACTTGAAAACCTTGGCCTTCGTCACGATACGAGCCAGGTCGGTCTTTTCCGCCACCTGCATGCGCAGCTGCATGGTGGGAGTGAGTGGTTGCTAAAGAACATGATGAAAAACGTGCTTGCATTCTGCAAGAGAGTCGACAAGCATCTTCACAGATTTCACAGCAGGTTGCGTATGTTGTGTCACTTCCATGTCCTCCACGTCTCAGCTGGGCCTTCTCCAACATTTGGATCAAGGCGTACGTGATGGTCATCCCTGGGAATCGCTCCTTGCCTCGATGGGTACGGGGCTGCGAGTGTCCTCCCAGACGAGCCACCAACGACAGATCCAAATTGAACTTCTCCACCAGCCAGTCCTCAGACGATGTCGACCCAGAACCAGGGGACGTCTACTTAGACCCAACTCAATAGTCCATCTTGTAGCCTTCATTCCATTCAATAACAGAGTCAGGGGGTTTTCCAAACAACTCATCGACCTCAGACAGGCATCGACATCGGCCGCACTGTTGACGCACAGTAGCCTCATATGTCAAAGCTCTGGGGTGATTCACGGTTTCCCATGTTAAAGAACTGTAAGTCGCAAGTTGGGGTCTCACTCTGATTCCAATTTGGAGAAACCGCTAAAAAATGCCAAAAACTTTTTTTTTGCCAACTTTGAGAGCAAATCTAGTATGCAAATATCACATATATCACATATCTGTTCTTTTCTATCAAAACCTGCCAATCAAACATGGCTAGCTGGAAATCCCCCCGAAATGCAGATGATTTATATATATTATATTATATTATATTATATTTTATTATATTATATTATAAATTATATTTTATATTATATTATATATTATATTATATTATATTAATATTAATATTAATACTATACTATATTCTATTATATCATATTAATATTAATATTAATATTAAGATTATACTATATTATATTATATTAATATCAATATTAATATTAAATTATATATTATATATTATATATTATATACTATATATTATATATTATATACTATATATTATATATTATATATTATATATTATATATTATATATTATATATTATATGATATCATATTATATTATATGATATATTATATTATATATTATATTATATTATATTACATATTATATTACATATTATATTATATATATTATATATTATATTATATTATATTATATCATATTATATTATATTATATTATATTAATTATATTAATTATATATTATATATTATATATTATACATTATACATTATACATTATATATTATATATTATATATTATATATTATATATTATATATTATATATTATATATTATATATTGTATATTGTATATTGTATATTGTATATTATATATTATATATTATATATTATATATTATATATTATATATTATATATTATATATTATATATTGTATATTGTATATTGTATATTATATATTATATATTATATATTCTATATTCTATATTGTATATTATATATTATATATTATATATTATATATTATATATTATATATTATATATTATATATTATATATTATATATTATATATTACATATTATATATTACATATTACATTTTATATATTATATATTATATATTATATATTATATATTATATATTATATATTATATATTATATATTATATATTATATATTATATATTATATATTATATTATATTATATTATATTATTTTTTTATAACATAATATAACATAACATAACATAACATAACATAATATAATATAATATAATATTATATTATATTTTATTATATATATACATATTATATATACATATTATTTATATATATAGAACAAGAGTCAACAGTCAAGACTTGTTGATAAAATTGAGGCGATTTGAGGCATGAACTTTGCCAGCTCTGGTTTTTTGGCGCCACCTTTCAGTGTGTCCTGTGGCATCAACATGCCTCGCTGCATGTTTCAATATTCATTGCTCTTCATTCAATGTCCTGAGTAAAAATCTCAGCAGTGTCTGGGATGTTCTTGGCTTTTTGTGTTTTGGTACCTCCAAGCCAAGAACACATTTGGCTGCAAACTGCTGTAATTGCTGCTGAAACATGCTGAAATACTATGTATCCGCTCCTAAAATATGACCGAGTGAGTCTCCGTGCCTGCGCCATTGATGCCAGATGTGGCTTTTGTGCTGTTTCCACCGCAAAAGGAGGATTTATCCTTACAGTTCGAGCATTTGCACATCAGGGGGAAAGTGCAGGGTCGCACTTGCGGTGACAGGTTCACTTTACAGCCATCTGATGTCCATTATATCGCCAGTATATAGCCACTGTATAGCCATTATATAGCCATGAGATAACCATTACATAACCATTACATAGCCATTATATAACCATATAAATATATAGTATCATTATATCAATCAACCCATGATCTGACAACTGCCGCCCAGGGACCAGCAACACAACGCGCCCACCGTTTTCCACCACGGTGTTGGCTGCTGACATGCCTCCCAATCCGCCACCAACGACGATGGCTTGGTTGCAAAGAAATTTGCACGCCATCGCGGCAACCTTGGTGGGTTGCGATTGAGTTAGGAAACCAGCAAAATACGGGAATTTCATGGATTATAATGGAATATCACCAACAACATGGGAATATTTGGGCGTGCTTGACAATCGGATATTATATTTATCATACCATTAATTTATCACCATGTCATGGGGAATATGTTAATCAAACAATGAATTTGTGAACAAGCCACATCATGTTTCCCTTCAGAACAAAGCACATTCAGCACGAGTAGCACACATGCATGTCGTTAACCCATATGATTCACTCACATGTGCCGAGCAACACTGGAAATGCACGCACCAATGAATTGTCGTCAACGCTGTGGCACTATGAACAAATAAAACCAAACGGCTGCAATTTTATTTAGACAAGAATCTGCACATGTGTATTGAACAGGAACATGTATTTGGATCGACAAATTGATGTTTTGGATGTTTGGAGTGTTTGGCACCATTTGCAAAATATCAAAATTATCATTTTTTCTTCCACAAACCCTTTCCACAGACAACCAGTTCAGCTGCGCTTAACCTTTTTGGAACTTTGGCTGGTCACGGCTTCGTTCAAGGCTGAAGGGGCTAGGCTTATGCCCCAGCATGCAAGGTTGATGAAGAACGCAACTGCTGTCAACTGCAAGCACAAGCGTCCAATGCAAGTAAAGAAGCTGGTGCTGGGGAAGGCGGTGGGTAAGTTGACAAAAAAACGTGGGGAACCCACCCACCCACCCTCCCGCTTTGAGAGGAAAGTTGCATTCCGGTTGTAATGCATTTGTTGTCATAAAGTGCAGTCTCACGCGACTATCACATTATTCCACAAACCCTTTCCACAGACAACCAGTTCAGCTGCGCTTAACCTTTTTGGAACTTTGGCTGGTCACGGTTTCGTTCACCCCAACTTCACTCAACTTCGTGACCAGATTTTCCAACAACACAGCAGCTTTTGCAGAAACATTGGTTGCATTCAGAAAGAATTCACTTCCAACTTCCAATGTCGTTTCTAAACGGTGGGTCGGCGATATTGCTCTTTGAAGGGACACGCGCCAGCCAAGTAAATGCGTGGACTCCTGCTTCTATCTTTGCAAAGAAGCCTGACAGTGTGTCCACCGTGCCATTGTCTGAAAAGCCTTTGAGTAAGGAGAATTTAGTCCCCTCATTGTCAACGAAGATCAAACAACGCTTGTTTGCAAAAAATTCCTTCCAAAGGTCGAAGGCCAGGACTGCCGCTAGTGTTTCAGTTTCAAAGATGATTTGCTTCTTGAAGTCTTCACCCAAGGCTGTACGTCCCAGCTTGTCAACTGGCAAGGAAAAGAATTGGGTTTGCCCACCAAAACAAATGACACCACCCAGTCCGCAAGGCCACAAATTGTTTTCACGTTCGTAGCAAGCGTCCGTAAAGATCACGACGTTGTCATTTCCAAGAGCTCTGACTTCTCTTGGTATTTTGCTTTGCAACAATCGTATAAAGAGTCCCAAGAAGAAAGAATCTTTAGCCCTCAACAGCTGCTGACGGCCTTCAGAAAACTCACCCAAGACCTTCAAGCATCTCCTTCCAGTCCTTCCGAACATTTGTGCCTCAGCAAATTGCATGCGGCCACGCAACCTCTGTGCCTGCTCGGCACTGACTGAACCCTTGTTAAGTACCTCCTGCAAATCAATGCAGAGCTCCGCAACCCTGGTCGCGGTGTTTCTGACTGACACCGAACCCAGGCCGGAAGCCTTCAAATCAAAAGATACACCCAGCGCATCAAACAAGCTGTGAAAAGGAATGCACTTATCGCCCTCTTCTGCAAAAGCCCAACCAAGAAGTTTGAGCAGTGAAACAATTGTCGTCTCTGTGCTCCTGGACAGTGCAGGTCTGCTGAAAGAAATGAAATCATCATAAAATGATGTCCAAAGTAATTTGCAACCCACCACACCAATCCACAAGATAGCCCTTGCCAAACGTAGAAAGGTGTGCACACTGCGCACAGCTCCGAATGGGAGCACTAAGCTCCTGAAATACTTCATGCACTTCTCAACAGGATCAAATACCCTGATACAAGCAAAACGTTTGCCCTCGCTGCTCAAAGCAACCTGTCTGTACGCGCTCGTTAAATCGAAAGTTCTCACTACCAAGGTCGGGTCAAGCTTGCCATCATCACACGCACCAAGCCATAAAGCCAACAAAGCACAAGCCACATCTATTGTATGCAAGACTGGGGATTCCACTGCAGTAACACATGTATTCACTCCAGACTCTGTATAATCATCAATCAGACGAATTTTTCCTTTCTTCCGGGAAAGGCCGAACCTACGTGAAATTGGTTGGGTGTCGGGAACATCGCATCGCTGCAACGGACCAACCTCTTTCAACTTCCTGTAGAGTCTTTGACCACACTACCTGGACAATGTGGTCATCGCCTGACCCCATGCACTCATGGTCAAGCTTGGGTCGAATTCGAGCTGCATTTGCTTGCAACTCTTCAACAGTGGCAAGTGCAGGAGAGAACTTCCCTGGCAACATGTTGGTCGGGGGCATGTTGCCTGTCAGACTTGCGCCCAATTTCAACTCATCCACAACAGACATGTCAGGCTCTTCAAAAACAAGAATTCTCATCCCTGCTACTGCGGCAGAGACTTCTGGATTCATGCTTGCTTTTAGCTCCCGCCCATCTGCAGATAGCTCTTTTGCACGCTTGAGCCATTTCGCCAGATACCTTGCTCTGTGCAAAGTTATGTCCTGCTCAGAGGTATGCAGATTGTAAGAAACAGATTCACGCAGCTGTTCGGGAACCGCCAAAGATGCATCAAGGGGATGCTTGGCCTGCATGGCTTTCTCGACAACCTCCAGTTCGGTCCAATACATTCCAAAAATCTTCAAATGAACCACGCATGGAAAAACCAGATCATGAATGAAATTTGCAAAATCACTCGCATTGAAACAAATATCCAAATTCTTCAATTGACGCTGCTGTTGCAACCCGCTGCACAGATGCTGCATGTCCTCGCCCCCCAGTTGAATCTCATGCAGCAGCTTTGACAAAGAAAGGTCGAGGAGCTGTTGTGGCCATATTTGCAAATCATTGTGCCACACAGTTACAACTTTGCATTTGTATTCAGGCAAATAGGTAGGGATTTTGACTGTCCCTGCCTGCACATGTGACAAGGCACGTGCTGTCTGGTTGAGAGACAAGGTCGGCTCTGGAAATATATTCCGCTCACGCAGTGCCAACGCAATTGTGTCAGCCACTTCATCACACAATAAACTTGGATAATGCACCTCAAGAGAAGTGGCAAAAATACGCCTTGCTCCTTGTCTCTGTACGCCCCTGGCTTCATGCACATGGTCCCCAGGACATGTTTTGTTGATACGCTGTATAAGAGGAAAATTGGCTACCAATTTTGTCCACTTTAGCCTCTTGGAGCCATAAGCAAGCTTGATGCACCTGTTCAGTTTCCAGTTGTTGAAAATCCCTCGCCAGCCATGGTGTGACTTTCCAGAACAATGAATCCTTGGGGTTCTCGCAAATAAAAAGTTTCCCAAGTCTGCAACATTCAATGTTTATTCCAAGCTTAACAAACCGTGCGTGCAAAACCCAGGGTGGGACTGATAACGGGGCGGGTCAAAAACAAGGATTCCTCAATAAAATTGATTGAGGGACCCACCCATCCCACCACTTGAGACAAAGTTTGTGAGAAGGCATAGATTCAAATTACGTCTGATTGAATGTCTTGACATGAGGTGTACAAGACTGTCCCATTTCAGACCTCGTTAAAATAAAGAAACATACAGTTTCCAGAAAGTTTTGAATTGGAGTGTACATGAATGTATGGTTTCAAAAATGCGAACCCATAAATGAAACTTACAGTTTCGAGTTTGGTTTTGACCTGAACGGATAAAAGAAACGTACAGTTCCAAGATCAGGTAGCAGGGTGACACCGAGAAGTTCAGAACAAACAGACTTCTGTTTAAAGATCCTGTCGAAACAAAAGTTGCTAGCACGCACTAATTGTTGAACATACATTTCAACAATTTTTGTGTTACAGAGGAGGCCCGCACATGCGAAGCCTGATTTCAATTGACTTTCCGGCCCCAGAAATGGAACCTGAAAGCGCACATGTGGTATCAGCTGTCTCCGTTCCCTAGCTCCAATGCGGCGATTGCAATGCAGCACCACCCAGGCAACATTCACCAATCCGTCGCTACTCCGCGCTACTCCGCTACTCCGTGGTATGTTTTAATTCAATTACCCAATGTAATTGACACGATATCGAAACGATGGCGGAGTAAGAAAGCCTTCAATACTTCACCTTTCCACATCTTTCCCTAAGCAGATTCTTACTCCATCCCGTTTTAAATTAATACTATTAATTAATAACGGGATTGACTGAAAAAATCATAATTCATGTTCTTTCTGGGCTGAAAACTTCGGTAGGAGTCTAGAGGGGCAAGGGGGGCCAACAAGGGGCAGTAAAGTATTCAATACAATCATTCAAATGGAAGCCGACCGCCTGCGCGAAAACCCACAAACTCCGCAACAGCAAGAAACACTTCAAGCAATCACCTAAGGCTGCAAAAGGCTGATGCGCCTTCTTTTAGCAGCAAACAATCAAGCCACCAGACGAAACGAAATCATAAAAAGCTACCTTCAACTAGGTTCAAGCAGCAACCGATATGCACCCCGCTTGCCCCAACAAGAAACAAAATTATCTACAAAAAAGCTTGCTCCGACAGACCCAATTCTGGGTCTGGAAAAGCTTCTCAAAACCGGCTTCGCTCAAAAGGGCCTCCCTAGTTGCCCTTCCGGTCGCCATAAGCCACAAAGCTTCTTTGAAACCAAAACGTTGCGCTTCTGCAACCTTGATACAAAAAACTTCAAAAAATGAACCTAAACACGGTCCCAAAAATGGGACCGCCTGGCGGTCCCATTTTTGGGACCGCATGCACAGCTTAGTAAAAGGCTGTACCAAAAATGAGACCGCAAAATCGCAAAATCAACAGCAAAGGCCGACCCGTGCAACAAACAAAAAATGACAATTGCGTTTAGTTGAGCAACAAGCATATAGAGTTGGAACAATAGCTTGGAATAAGGCAATCATCTTCTTCGAAGAGCGCTAGCTTATTCCAAGCGTAACAAACCATGCGTGCAAAACCCAATGCTCAGAGAGCATAAAATCTAGATGCCCACAAATTTGAGCCTCATAGAATCTAGATACCCCGCCAAAACGTAAACGCCAAATCATTCAAAAAGCGACCATGACCCTCAACGTGGAAAATAACGACTTGTGACGTAACTAAAAGCTCGATGGCTGCCATTAGTGATGCATGGGCATCACCCCATCCAGATCGGACACTTGTCATGTTGGACTTCGTAAACAACATCGTAATTTTCCGCAAGGGGCCCCAAGTCAGCTGCTTGTGTTATGTAACCGCACTGGTTCACAATCAGCTGTTGCAGCATAGCTTTCATACGTGGCGCGTCGAGTGTCTACTTCCTCATCAGCAGCGGGTGCCAGTGCCCGAATTGCTGTGTTGTGCAGACAGGCTGTGGAGGATTGCATGAGCGACGGGCGGCGCAATGCTACTGGACGACAAGGCTTACATCCTGTCCCCAGTGGATAGAGGCCACCACCGCGTCTCCAAAAAGTATGCCGATTTCAGGTGCCAAGGGCATGGATTTCTTGACTCAGAAAGTTGATCCAGAAAGTTGCTGCGATGTGCATCCATTACTGAAGCTCAGGCTGCTGACCGTCAAATATGGGCAGCCATTGCTGATTTGATGTCAGAGCGTGGATGGGATATGGATGCTGCTTGCATGAGTTTACTCATATTCGTCATGACTTGCCCGGACTCTTACAACTCCGACCCCGTCCTATGAAGATTTCATCTACGCCATCACAGCCCAGTTTCTCAGGTCAAACCAAGAGCAAAGGAAAAGGCAAACCCTCTAAGTGTGAAAACACGAGAGCGGCATGGCAGCTCTTTTTCACAGCTCGGACTTGAGCCAAACGACACAGGTTTGACAGCTCAGTCACTCTTCTTCTTAGAAGAGTCGTGCAGAGTAAAACGCAGTGACACTCAAACGTTCTCAAACTTCTCAAACTACTTCACAAGAGTTCTCAAGCTTCAAAAACGTTCTTCCAGCTTCTCCAAATAAAACGTCTTCAGCTCAAACTCACAAATAACCTACAAAACTCCTACCAAATAAGTTCACAACATCACAACATCAAGTTCCTAAGACATGGGTCAAACAACATCCAAAAACACCAAAAACCACAAAAACAAACGAAAATCCATCTCCAAGCTCTTCCATGCACAAACTCGTTCCATTTGGTTCCAAATTGGTTCCTACCTGGTTCCTATAGGTTCCTATGGGTTCTATAGTTCACAGATCGGTTCCTACAAACTTAAAATGGTTTCCTAACTGTTCACATGCACATGCATTGTTCCAAGATAGGTTTAAATATGTTCAAGTAGGTTCAAAGTGGTTCAGTACACTGTACATCCTCTCACCAAACTCTCACACCCCTTCTTGGACAGTAGTGCTGTACACCGAAGTACCTATAGACTACCATTGTGTAAAAGTGTCTGTGTGTCAAAGCGTCTGTGTGTAAAAGTGTCTGCGTGTAAAAGCGTCTGCGTGTAAAAGCTTCTGTGTGTAAAAGCTCCTGTGTGTAAAAGGGTCTGCGTGTAAAAGTGTTTGTGTAAAAGCTTCTGTGTGTAAAAGCGTCTGTGTGTAAAAGCGTCTGTGTGTAAAAGCGTCTTTATAGACTAACTTGAACTCCTCACATTTGCAAAAACATCCCACAAAGCAACGTGTAGGTTAAACAAAAACAAAGCACAAAAACCTACGCGAAAGTATGTGACCTTATGCTACCGCACGTATCACACACTATCTCAAACTTGACGTCCTTCTACGCACAAACAAAACGCAAACTTAAAAAATAAAAATGGCTGGCACATTCGAGAAAAACATCAATGGAACTGAAAGTGGAATCGGCTCACGGTCTTTTCTCGCACTGGCAAACATGGGGAAGTATCAAATCCTTCACGGTTGGATTTATCGTTCAATCCAAAAATTTTCTGGTGCTTTCCAAAAATGCTTTGCATGAGAAGGACACTCACGAAAATGCTCTGCTTCAAGCATGTAAATTCCCCCCAATTTTTGGGGTGGGTAAAACAAGGTTTGGGTGGGTACAAAAATTGGGTGCGTTCCCAAGATGAAAGGTCTTTCCCTCCCACCCACCACTTGAAATGAAAAATTCACACAACATAAAATTCAGCATGAATGCATTTCACTGATATGCACAAGACAGTGGCAAAAACAAAACGTGAAACAACAAACCGAGGACCTCTGAAACATGCCTTCAAGACAAGAACCACCAGGTTGTGTCACTTAAAGGTTTGGGTTTGTTTTACCACGTTTAGTCTGTTTCTGCCTTCAGCTTCCATTTTTAAAACTTGAGAAACCAATCGTCTCATCAACAAAGGTTCACGCCAACCTTGGAAAAACAAATTTGAAACACACGTCCAAACTTGTTAGAAAAACAAATGTTCAGCTTCAAACATCTGCACATAGCAATGCATGTAGGTTGCGCTTCCGCGTATCGCATATACACAGTATGTAAACCTACACGCAACGCAGGAGCATAAGGATGTGCGCAATGTAGCGAGGAGCAAGGGTCGCTTAACCCTTTTATTCAAGGGCAGTCTATAAACTACTATTGGCAAGCCAACTGTAATATTATAGACTAACTTGAACTCCTCACATTTGCAAAAACATCCCACAAAGCAACGTGTAGGTTAAACAAAAACAAAGCACAAAAACCTACGCGAAAGTATGTGACCTTATGCTACCGCACGTATCACACACTATCTCAAACTTGACGTCCTTCTACGCACAAACAAAACGCAAACTTAAATAAAAATGGCTGGCACATTCGAGAAAAACATCAATGGAACTGAAAGTGGAATCGGCTCACGGTCTTTTCTCGCACTGGCAAACATGGGGAAGTATCAAATCCTTCACGGTTGGATTTATCGTTCAATCCAAAAAATTTTCTGGTGCTTTCCAAAAATGCTTTGCATGAGAAGGACACTCACGAAAATGCTCTGCTTCAAGCATGTAAATTCCCCTGTCCGCTTCAGCCAGTTACAAACGTTCCAGAGCCTTTCCAGTAATCGGACACCTCGGGTGTCGAATAACAAAAGGTTTCATGAATTCCACTTGATCCCATCGTCCTCTGCTTGGAGGGTCAGCAACATTACTCGGCGAGGCAACACGTGCCATCCAAAGCAAACAGTTGAGATTCTCATCTATTTTCTCAAGTGCCAGCAGCAATCGTCTCCACCACTTAATTGGGGACGAGCTCTTGACGAAGACATCAATAGCCGTCCAGTTATCACAAAAACAAATAACACGGCGACCAGCTATCACGTCTTTCCAAAGACCCAAGGCCACCACCACAGCATACAGTTCTGTCAAGCCGACAGGGTGGTTGAGCTCGGTCATCCAGTCTTTCAAAACATCGTCATCCACTCGGTTCCCAAACATCTGAACCGTATTGTCGCAAATGAGAACTCCTCCAATTGTCGCTTCCACATTTCCACTTTCGTTGGTCTCGACCGCACCATCAGTAAAAATAATGACGGGCCGCTCAGGCACATCTGCAGAAAGTTGTTGGGGTTTACCTGAGGTCACCCTAGCAAGCAAGGTTTTAAAGGCCTCCATTGAGACAGGATCAAGCGCAAGCTGTTTCTGTATCTTTGCAGACCGTTCCCACTCCCTGATGTCAGCCAGCGCAAGTTTGCCCTGCCTTCCAGATATTCTCATTTCTGCAAATTGAACTCGCCCCAAAACTGAAGGTAAAGTGTCAACATCCATGTTCCCGCTCTCCAGGATCTTTCTGATCTCGGCAGCAAGCTCAGCTTTTCTAGTGTCCTTGTTGTCGATCACAACGCATCCATGTTTGGACGTATCCAGAATGATACCAAGCATCTCTGACCTCTCAGCAAAAGGGGCGAGCTTGTCATGCGCAAAACGGAAACCCAAAAGCTTGAAAAGACACTCCACGCTGGATTTCGTGGAAGCAAGTTGGCAGCCATGGGCGATGCAAGGAAAATCGTCAAAATAATTTGCCCACCAAAGATCAAGCTCAACGCCAAGCCGCCATATCAGTCGTGCCACACGATTGAAGTGTAGCACGCTTGCTGTGCTCCCGAATGGGAGTGTCCGCATCAAGAAGCATGCAGGTTTGTTGGAAGAAGGATTACGAAGAGTGACAACAGTGCAATCATATTCGCTAGGATGTAGCGCAAGCTGTTTGTAAGCGCTCTCCAAATCAAAGGCTGTTGTAGTCAATTTCGCATCGACACTCCTCCAGGCTTGATGTACCGGCGCTCTCAAGCGCTCGCCATCACTCAACACAAAATCCAATTCACCTCCATGCAGACAGAACCTTGTGATGACCTGGAGACTCCACACCAATTGGTCAAGAGCCTGTAAGTCTATCTTCTCGCCGCAGCTGAAAGATTGGTTCAGCTTGTTCTCCTTCATATCGTCAATAGGCCGCACCTTGCCACGTTGAAAAACTGCAAACCTTCGTACGGGTAACCAACAGTCAAACATGTTGTCAATGTCGGTCACGTCAAATGGGCCTTCTAACCAGTTCTTGTCCATGGCTTCCTTTACAGTAATGTCAAAAAGCTCATTTGCGTACTGGTCTGTACCACTCGAAGATTTCACCTTCCCAAGCAAAAGCGGCCTGAGAAATTTGCTGTCCTGCATAAGCTCCTGTTTGCCAAAAGCTGCAGGTCGCACTTCTGTCTTGAAAACACCAGAAGGAGGAAGATATCCTGTAGGTTTGAAACCCTCCTTTAGCTCACAGTGCAAGTTCTTGTCAGGCCACCCAATGCTTGTAGCAAGCTTCTCAAAAAGGAGTAAACGCTTACCAGCCAAAACTTGTGCGACTTTAGGGTGTAAACTCCGGTGCAGCTCTATCTCTTTCTGTCGAAGTTCTCTTTCCCAACTGCTCCAAAGCCGCCACGTCTGTATTCGACGCCTGGTCATTTCTGCTGGGCTGTTTTTCAAACATCGAAAAATACACTGCACCATACAGTCTGGCAAATTCCTCAGTTCGTCAAAAGGATGCCATAGCTGCTTGGCAAGTTCCACAAAGTCTTGCATCCCTCTAAAGAGGCCAAAAACAAACAAATTGATACCACCCCTTTTTGCTTCCGTTCGAAGAAGTTTGGACCCCGCTGGTATTGAGTGCCAACTCGAAGACAGCACCTTTTTGTCGTTGACGGGAGGCATCTCTTTGGAGGTGACCGTGCGCAGGGCAGCAAATTCAGGAATAATTTGTGGCAGAGCGCGGCCCTTTGCTTGCTGTTGAGGTCGTACCTTTTCAGGCCTGTCTATTGTCGCTCGCTGAAAATTGGAACCAAAAACCAGTCGTTCCAACACATTTGCATATTGCTCACGCAGGGCCTTTGGATACTCAGCTTCCTTGGCAGTGTTGAACTCGCCCTTGTCAAAGTCGTACCCCCACTCTTTATGGGGGTGAGTACCGTCACAAAATTTCTCCAAAACCATGAACTCAGCTTCGCTGCAAAGAAAAGATGTCTTCTTTTTCCGTTCACCTCCATATGCACACGCATGTAGGTGGACAAAGTGTCCATGTGCAATTGCAAAACTCATCTCAGGCAACTCCCACAACCATGAATTTGATGGGTTCTCAATGGTCCAGGGCACGTTCTTGGAGTGCAGAAAACGTATAAACTCATCAGCCCATTTATATAGTCGATTGGCTGCATCAACCTTAGTCTGTTGCACCGCAGTCAGATTTGGAAGCCCATGCAAATGTTCCATATCACGTAAAGGAGGAGGGCCCGGAGCCCCGCTTGGAAGTGGGATGCCACGTGCCTTGGAGCACGTGCCGCAAGGAAGGGCGATATGCACACCTGCCACTTGATAGTCATCCACTATTCGTCTCAACAGCTGGTCAGAATGAGGTGATGTAAGATCCATCACCACCAAGCGGCACTTTGGAGTGTGCCTGTTTCGCGGACAATCTATTGGGATCACCTGGAATCCACGTTGTTGCACAACTGAACTCAAAATACCACATCCAGCACAAGCCTCAATAAAAATAGGTGTACCCTGAAAACCAGAAGGGCTCGTCTCAAAGTTGAATGAATTACTTGCATCATCGGCATCACCGCCTTGCAAAATGCCATCAGCTGAATCTGTCTTAGACAAATCATCCATGCCACTATCCTCGGTCAGCGCAGCTTGGCTGTCTTGGGCAGTAGACGCAACATCCCACTGCTTCTGGGTTGTTGCATCCAACTTCAACTTTGTTGAACTGCTTTGTCCAACCTCAGATCGTCGCTTGCGACCTGTGCTAACTTCTGAAGAAGGGCACGGCTGATGAAATTCCGCACTTGCATCCTCATGTCAGTTTCCCTTTTTCGTCGGGCACTCAACCGCTGGATGTTGCTTCATACATCCACGAATGCAACACAAATGTAATCCACGATCACACTTCTGACCACTAACCGGCAGCTGACATGACTTCAAATTGTACCCAAAGCAAAGCCTGTTACCCTTGGGTGTTGATGCAACGGCCCCCAACTTAAGCAACTCCGTCGGGATCCTTTGAAAACCAGTCGAACTGGTCTTTCCCTGGCCCTTTGCTTTAGGGCCAGTTTTTGCTTTCTTGCTTGGCGGGTCGGCTCCTGCAGTTCCGCTTTCTCTCGGGGTTGCAACATTACCCGATCCTTGATTCATGCGAGGTTGCAACAAATGTCGAAACTCTGCACTGTTGAAGACCCCTGCAAATGCCTGGTCACATGGCCGTCCAAGTTCTGGTTAGCTTTGATACCTGACCGGGTAGCCTCACCAAGCAAAACGAAAAACTTCTTGTCTGCGGCTTCCAGCTGTTTCATAGAAACCCTCTGATACCCCAAAGGAGGCTCTTGCATGCGAACTTCCAGCAACAGTTCAGTAAGTTTGTCATGGTTTTCATATTCCATGATATTTGCCTGGTCCAGTGCTAGTCCTCGCCTAACAAGAGCATAACGCACTTGGATCTCAGACATGCTTTGCATCGGTTCAATCTTCGAGGTCCGGGCAAGCTTCAGCATACCGTCACTGGTAAAAGTCAGGTCAGTATCTTTCTTTGAGTTGTTTGCAAGTTCATACTCTCTGCTGATGCACAAGCTCCACTCAATGTAAGAAATGCGGTCTAACTAAAGCATCGGCAGGTTCGTACGGTCCTCTAAACGACAAACCAGAAAGCTTTGCCTGCTGAAGCTTCAAACGTTCTGCACGCTCTGCTGGTGCAAGCTTCCTTGAAACACTTTCATCAGTCTGTTTGACCTGCGACTCAATGTCTGCTGCAACATTGGCATAACTCTCGTTGAATAACCTTCGGAGAATGCTTAACTCAGAAGGGTTGGGGTCCCGGCCAAGGGTGGAAGTCAACATCTCCACAAAGGGCTTGTCACTGGCCGCCCCAGGAGCATAATTGCAACTGAATGCAAACAAAGCCATGTTTTTGTATCCCTTATCCACAAACATCTTTAGGACTGAGGCTTCAAGTCCCATGTGTAGAGCACGTTGCTCGAACACCGCAGAGCTGTCACCGTAAGACATTGCTTCGAGGCCCTACTAAAAGTGACAAAGCTTCCTATCCATGAAAAATCCCTGGCACATGAAAAGTGTCTTCAACACTGTAAATCAAATCATGCATGACATGTCACAATCTGGGTTCAAATCAAGTGCACGCTTCACATCTTAAGTTCATAACTCGCCGCACCCCGCTTGAGGTGACAAACACCTGGACGTTCATCGGCTTGTCACGATCAACCTTTCAAACTGTGCTTCGCTTGAGATCGGAAGAATGGATGGTGATGTCACTTGAAAGAACCACATGTGAGGTTGAAAAACATGCATCCGAAAGAAAAACATCACAGGCCCACATCAAATCTCAGTGCACTGCTTCTCGACTGAAAATCAAAATGATCCACATGACCACATGCAAAACAAGGTGCATACTTGTATGCAAAATGACATGACGAATCACTGCATCACAAAATCAAAAACTCAAATTCTTGAACGGCGACACTGATCATCAGAAACATTCTTTTTATACATCTTCTAGGTCCTGAAGCATCCGCTGCATAGTGGGTGCATGAAGGCAGGCTTGGTCAGAAGAATCACATAGCGATTGCTGACAACGCGACCGCAAGTGAAGTTCAAGCCAGACTCGTCGCCAATGGCATGTATGCAACGCGAGATTCTGTGTCTGGCGTACCGCTGCTCCGCTGTGCCAGTTGTAGGCGGGGCCCAATGACCAACCAGTTCAGATACCACTGCCTCATCCTCATCTGGATTCCCTTCCTCTTCTGACGCCGAACCCCTGCTGGAGTCTGCATCTGATTCACCATCCTCACTCTGAACTTCCAAAGATGCACCAACCGGCAACTCATCAGGAGGGAAGTAGCCAGATCTGGTAGCATCCGGAAAAAACTTTTGCTCTCACCGCGGTGATGACAGTCACCAGTTTTCTCAGCGGGCCACTCATTGCATCCCTTGAGTATGTCAAAAGTGATTGATCCCTCCCAGAGCTATGATAGCCCAAAAGACGGCGTGTGGCATGGTCCAATCCAAACTTCGCCGACATTGAAAGCATAGTTGCCTTGCAGGAGTGCGTTGCCAATCTATCCTTTGACGTGCTCTCTGCTTTCACCAACGAGCGCAGCCAATCCGCCGCAGCTCCAACGGAAAGCGGCATCATGGACCAGCCACCCCCCATCTGAGGCGACGGGAGCATAGGATGGGGTGCGTCCCCATGCAAGCCAGCTTGTTTCCTGAGGTCTATCCAAACCGGCACCCAACTGGGGATCAAAAAGGAATCCAAGGGCACTGCAACTGGAAGAAAACGTATCTTCCGTTCAAGGGTGACTGATGTCTTGGTACGTTCAGCCCTTGCCTCCAAGAACCCAGTCACCCCCGCTCCAGTTTCATGTGCATCAATGTGCAAATCACCCAATTGCAAGCCATCACTGTACCTCAGCCGTCCAAAAATGAGCATCAAAAAGAAACCAGCAGCTATACGGTCGTACGAAGTCCTTGCCTCGTCGTGTACCGTTCTTTCCAGCATCAAAATCTGGTTCACCGTCAGTGGAGGTCTCTGCACAATCTTACGGCGGTCAGCATAGTGCGAGTCAGCTACACCCTTGATGCGCGCCGACTTTGCTGCAAAATCTCCACCTGCCAATCCAAAAACATGGAATGCAAAAGACAGCGAAATCAGCAATGATCGAGGTGCTGTAGGACCGTAGGAGCCCAGCCAGTTTGCGCCTTGATGTACTGGTACACCATGTCCTCTTGGATGGGGAAAAACTCCACACCCCTGTCACGCCAATACTTGGCAAATTTCAGCAATGGACCAGCTCTGCAATGCAAAGTTGCCGTGGCACGGCTAGCCAAAGAGTCCACCACAGATTCCATGAGCCCACCACAGGCGTACTGGACCCCACTGCCAGCTGCCACAGTTCGTCCAATAGCCCATGCGCTGAGCTTCATAAGGATCAAAGAGCACCACTTCTTGCAAGCACATTTGCGCTCCCAGCTCAAACGGTCTTGCCACAGCCTCTGGTCAGATGCGCTCACTGCCCTCAACCCAACCTTAGTGAAAGAGTCTTCGATCATCGCAGACTCCACCTCAGACGCCACTTCACCTGCAAAGTGCGGCATAGGTGGCATCCTGGATCTCCATGACGGTAGGGCCAAGGCATCTGCTGAAACACTCATGGGGCTCTTCAGCTTCAAATCCCACGGCATCACATGCAACCGCTTGTTTTGTCTGGCATTCCAACAAAATTGAGTGTGCAGCAAAAATGCATCAGGAGTCTTTGTAGACCAATCATCAAAACTTCCTTCGTCACCCCTCGTCCGCTTCCAGCTCGTCATCGTCTGAAGACACTGACACAGAACTGTAAGAAGCAACTGGAGGTGTTGGCACGGACCAAGCTGACAGCTCCAGTCCAAGGCGCCAATCCGTAGCGGCTAAGGCCACTTCGGCTCTGTCCACCAAAATCACAACACACGTGTGTGAAAAACGATGCACACTGAAAGTATCCAGAAATGCAAAAACCCTCAGGTTAATGACACACTGTCGCCAGATGCAATCCAGAAAAGGACAGCTGTTGTACCCCTGAAGGAAACGTTCCAGTGGACAAGGTATCACCATTCACAGCTCGTAAGTTGTAGGGCTATCCAAGGGCTGAAAAAGTAGCCACAGGAAGCAGGCGATCCACCCACACGTGAAGGATGCAATCACCACACAAATCAGTGGAAAACCGCAAGAAATCTTTGCAGACGGTTTCACTGCTGCAATGCCTCGTTCTCGGATGCCCATATGCTGTGCTACAAAAATTGGGTGCGTTCCCAAGATGAAAGGTCTTTCCCTCCCACCCACCACTTGAAATGAAAAATTCACACAACATAAAATTCAGCATGAATGCATTTCACTGATATGCACAAGACAGTGGCAAAAACAAAACGTGAAACAACAAACCGAGGACCTCTGAAACATGCCTTCAAGACAAGAACCACCAGGTTGTGTCACTTAGAGGTTTGGGTTTGTTTTACCACGTTTAGTCTGTTTCTGCCTTCAGCTTCCATTTTTAAAACTTGAGAAACCAATCGTCTCATCAACAAAGGTTCACGCCAACCTTGGAAAAACAAATTTGAAACACACGTCCAAACTTGTTAGAAAAACAAATGTTCAGCTTCAAACATCTGCACATAGCAATGCATGTAGGTTGCGCTTCCGCGTATCGCATATACACAGTATGTAAACCTACACGCAACGCAGGAGCATAAGGATGTGCGCAATGTAGTGAGGAGCAAGGGTCGCTTAACCCTTTATTCAAGGGCAGTCTATAAACTACTATTGGCAAGCCAACTGTAATAATGTGTAAAAGCTTCTGTCTGTAAAAGCTTCTGTGGGTAAAAGCTTTTGTATGTAAAAGCGTCTGTGTAAAAGTGTAGAAGCTCCTGTGTGTAAAAAGTGTCTGTGTGTAAAAAGTGTCTGTGTGTAAAAGCGTCTGTGTAAAAGCGTCTGTGTGTAAAAGTGTTTGTGTGTAAAAGTGCTTGTGTGTAAAAGCGTGTGTGTGTGTGTAAAACCGTCTGTTCTTGAAAGACATTCTTATGTTGCTACGGAACGCGGGGATATAATTTACAAAAGCAAACCAAACAAAATATATATATAAGGTAATTAAAATATACCAACCCAACATCCGAATTAGGAAACAATTCAATATGTAATTATATATTTAAATTGTTTATATTACTATATTTATTTTATTATTTCAGCTTGCTGAATTGATGGGTCTGTTATCCAAGCAGGTTCGCCACGCATCCAAATGAGATGTATTATCTCAGATGGACTTTTAAACCCCCTTAACTGATGTTCCGTAAGAGGATGAGAAGACAAAGCCGACATAGAGCAGGACCGAGGGCAAGCCGACGAAGTAAAGCCAAGAGAAGCATAGTTCGAAAGGAGTGGGAAGGGTGGGGAAAGAAAAGATGAAAGCCGCAACATAAGAATGTCACAAAAGCCACTTGAGCCAAAATGCACAAGTACATAAGGAAGATCTTCAAAAACAACATGAACAAGTACATGAATAGTTCTTGAAAGACATTCTTATGTTGCTACGGAACGCGGGGATATAATTTACAAAAGCAAACCAAACAAAATATATATAAGGTAATTAAAACATACCAACCCAACATCCGAATTAGGAAACAATTCAATATGTAATTATATATTTAAATTGTTTATATTACTATATTTATTTTATTATTTCAACTTGCTGAATTGATGGATCTGTTATCCAAGCAGGTTCGCCACGCATCCAAATGAGATGTATTATCTCAGATGGACTTTTAAACCCCCATAACAACCATATGAGATAAACATCAATAACACCTGAATGAAACGCCAACGATTACGACAACCCCAATAACAACTGTGTTCATTCAGCAAGTTGAAAATGAAATCATTTAGGGAGGTGCCAGGACAGGGAAGTGTGACGAGGATAGACCGAAACACTAGTGTGGCCGAGCCACAATTCGCGCAGTGAAAATCTACAGCGGTTCGAATTTTCTATACCTGCAGGAGGATCGCCTTCAAAGTTCCATCGAGAGATTGCATCAGCCAGTTCATTTGATTTGCCACTAATGTGAGAAACGTCCAAATGAATGCCAGTGGTGGTGGCAGTTATACAAAGTTTCTCCAAAAAGAATGCTAGAGGAGTCTTAGTAGTGAACAAAGAATTGACTCCTGCTTCCGCACCAGTGTTGTCTGACAAGCTTGAAATTCGTAACGCGTATCTTTGAGCAGGAATGTGAAGTGTCATCAGTTTCACAATGGCCAGTTGTGCCAATGTTTCGTAACAGACAATGTCTCTTTGCATGTTGCGGTTGACTTCAACCTCCAATTCATAGAAATCTTCAGGTGAAAAACGCTCTGAAAACCAAACCGTACGGTCAGGAAGTTGAATAAAGCCGCCAATTTGAGCCATAGTATCATGTGCACATGCATCTGCTGCAGCGTAAAAGTCAAGTGAAAAAGTAGGCCAAATAGATCGAATGGGAGCCATATGGTTCATCCAGTTTTGAAACATCTGAAGTGTCCGAATAGAGCCCGGACCAAGAAAACGTCTCGTTGACGTGGGATCTCTGATGCGAAGCCAGACTCTGCGCTCCGACAAGAGAGATGACCTAACGTCCTCAAGTGAGTACACTTTGCGATGGCGCACTTCAACCAAGGTGCCCCCGATTGGAATTGCTGTGCCTGGAGGTCGTGAATGAAACGTAAGATCAGTGTTTAAGCAAGCAACCATTTCATGCCAATAGCCAGGGTCAACGCTGAATTGAGTGGCCGGGATCTTGTGCATGTCCATGTAGAGGTGGTGGAGCCATATACGCATCAGTGGAAAAAGTTGAGTGATCCACATTGCCAGTCCCACTGTTTTTTGAATCACCTTCAATGGCACCCGATTGTGCTTCAGTAACGAAGAAATGAGGTCCAGGAGTTTCTTCTGTTTGTCAGGGTGCACTGAGACCAGTCCGCTGTAAAAATTGAACTTCCAACCAATCCAGGTGATTGTATGAGAGAGTTCGCATTTCTTCCAAGAAATGGGCAAGTTGATCGCACGAAGAAATAACACCAGAAAAGCTGCTGAGAGTGGCAATACTTTCTCATCTTGAAAGAAGATGAAATCATCAACGTACAGTAAAGCGCCGTGAGGGAGATATATAAGTCGATGGGCTGTACGAAGTAAGAATCCCCCAAGTCGTGACCACCAATGAGCAGAAAAAGTTGCTCCGAATGGACAAACTTTGTAAAAGAATATTTTGTCTTGCCATGCGAAACCGACCAGTCCATGTTCTGATGGATGAATTGCTACTCGTTTGTGAGCACTCTTCACGTCCAAGCTCAAACCAGAGAGCGGTGATGTTGAATTTCTCAACAGGAAGCTGCGAATAAGATCTTTGGAAGAAGGAAGGGATCCTTTCTCAGGAAGCGGACAATTCTGATTTAGGCCGCAAATTGAAGAGTCGACTATCAGTCGTGGTGGTCTGGATGAAGTTGCCACCCCAAGTTTGCCCACTGAGACACCCACAGGATATTGTGCTTGAGCGTCCGCTAGTGTCCCAGGAAACTCAAATACCCATCCTTGACGAAGTTCTTCTTGAACCAGTTCTGAGGTGATCTCTGGGTCATCGTGAGCGGATTTCCACCCATCAAAGTGCACTGAAAGAGGTGGAGGCTCATCATCCGTTGATGTTGTACTGTCGAAGCAATGCGAAGGGGGAATGTTACGCAAAAAACCAGTTGGGACCCCCTCGATCAGGTGATGAAATAATTCCGAGTCCGGATCACCAGTTAATCGTGGCAAGGCCTGCAGGATGTGGAGGCACAATGGTTGATTTTGCGGGACATCCCAATTGGCAGGGATGTTGTGAAATCGCAGCAGTTGTTCAATCGATTCTCGCATTTGAGTAACCAGTGCCGAATCAAATGGAGGTTCCGGACGTTGTTCCGCAAAATGTTGTGTGATCTCCTTGTGCAGGTTTTGGGACAAAATTGTTTGCATCCAGTGCTGTCGAAAATCTTTAAACACATCGGTCTTCAAGGAAGAAGGGTGGCTCCAATCAGGTCTGGAGTGAAAACCTGCGCCATCCACTTGTGCCACCGGTGGGTCCCAGACTCCCTTGGTTGGCAATGTTGGCAATAAGGCTGAAACTGAAAAATCCATACCAGAACCCCTTACTAAGGGGAGAACAATCTTTGCAAATTGATCAGCTAGTTGTTCTGGGTATTCTGCCGTCTGCTCATAAAGCCACCTGTCTCATCTCTGACCCCTGCTAATGGTGGGTGATGTCCTGGAGGATGCTCGCAAAGGCAAGCTAAAGAAATCAAAGGTGCAAATGATGACGCAAACATCCAGGACTTCAGCCAATCTCTGCCGAAGGCGCATGCGGCCAGGTGGATGCAATGGTATCCACCAGATAGCAACCATTTCTGAGTGCAGTTCTCCAACCAACTCATGGCTGATGGAGGTTGCTCGAGGTGACCGTGGCCGCCTGCTGAAAGGACAACTTGTAAAATTTCAGTACATCTAAAAAGCATAAGGTGGCTGTTTTGAACTCGAGATAGTTAAACAGCTGTCAAATTGGGGAGACCATCCAAAAATTCCTGAGAACGCAATGCTGGAGGCCCACCAGGCTTTAGTTTGAGTACGCTGTACTCATTGCAACTCGGAGAACAGGCTGCATAGGCAATGCGTCCTGAGGCTGCCAGGCGCAATAATTTCAAATAGAAAGCATCGTTGAGCAGGTCGTAGTCCTGGCAGAGTAAAATATCCACTGAGCAAACATCTCCTCCCTGTGCCAAAATGGCCTTGGAGAGGGGTCGATTGCTGCCTGAACAAATATCCAAAAAAATTCTTGAAGGGCAACTGGACTCCTGCTGAATGGTGTCCAAATGTTCAGGCGTTGTTGTTGGCACCTTAGAGTGACCTCCCAAGTCCTGTGATGTGAAACTAGCTGCTCCTGATGGTTGCCCTTGGGGCAGATTCATTGGAGGCTGTTGCATGGAATCCATGGTGAAATCAGTTGAAGTCCCTTGAGGGATAGCATAATTGGGTGAAATTGGTGATACTGATTTGTCCTCATCATCTGAAACCACTATTGCTAGTGAAGGCGGGGCCAAACCATCGAGTCAGTGAGGTGTGGATGCATGTTGCATCGCTGGGTGGTTCAGGCCGCATGCAGATCCATCTGCTTTCGGATAAGCGCAACCATGGTGAAATTTGCAATCATTGAATGTACATGAGCCGTTTTGATATCGCATGCATAACTGCTTTTTCTGTCCATCCACAACAGCCTCTGTCAACCATTTGACGCCACCCTTTGTTTTGCCTTTGGACTTGCCTTTCTTGCCGCCCCCACTGGATGGCTGAGGTGTTGATGATGTTGACCAGGAAGAGGAGCTTTTGCAGGATCCTTTCACAGGAAGAGCTGCAGGTTTATTCATGCGGGGCCGAGCTTGTAACAACATTGCCATATCACTCCTGATGTAAGTCATCTCATGCAAGGCCTGGTCAAGGGACCAGTTTTTGTCCACGAACAATTCCCCAATCAGGAACCAAAGGTGTTTGTCGGCTGCTTGGGCCTCCATGATGGATGGAGTTCTCAACCCGGTGTCGGGGTCGTACTTCTGTGTCAAATAGCCCAAAAATTTTAGGCTGTATGCCTTGAGGTGAGCAAGATGAGCCCCTTCTGCCAGCGCAACCGCCACATTGAAGAGGTCGAAGATCGACCGCACCGCGTTCACGCCCATAGATTGATTGGAGACCTCTATTGAGGGGGGCTCGTCATAGATCAAACTGTGCAATGATAACCCTTCCAAACGTGGTTGTTTGGAGCCCCGGCCCGTTGTCACTTCAGCTCGAGATTGGCTCAAGCGATACTTCCGTGGGATCCATTTGACCTCTTTTTTCCGTAGCTGATAGTGGACCTGCGACAATAGCCGGAGGCTTGGCAGTGTATCCTGTGTCAGAATTTCTGACGGGTATGAACTGAGGAACTTGGCTTTCATGGCTGTCACCACTGTTGATGAAAGCTTCAGAGCAAATGTCTCCGTCCAGCTGCTAGGTGGTTCCGTTGGCGTGGATGCCACTGGAGGAACTGGAGGATTTCCCAGGGATGCCTCCTCTGAATTTTGCTCGTCTCGACAAGCTTGCCAAGCTACTCGCATCTGAGCTTTCTCCAGAAAGGTCAGTTCCCGATCCGGGAACAAATCAGCCCAATGATTTTCTAAATCTGCCAGTTGAGGTGAACTCATGCCGAAAGTCGCCCGGGTCCATCCCGCTGTAATGAGTTCTGCCGATAAAGCTGGCGCTAGCCCGGCTTGAGATAAAATCTGATCCAGATCCTGATTGGCCATCATGGCACTCGAGCAACCGGGTGCGCCCGGAGCTAAATCAAACGCAAGCAAGTAAAAATGAATGCTCTTGTTTATGCAATTCTCTTGGAATCTTGGGATTGGAACTTAAAGTTAAAGTGATATAAATTTTTGGAGTGCCGTACAAAATTGTGTAGTCCAATGAATTCAGAATGGATAGATGGTCATTTTGAAATTGAAGATCAAACTCTCACCCCTTTTGAAAATGGATTGCATGTCACTTATCCAAATTGTCCGCCAACCGCACATGGTTGGAACGCGCTCGTTGGGCCCTGACACACGAACATGAGTAATCAATGGCAGGACTCCTGCCAAGGATGAAAATGCCATGCATTGCCTTTGTCCAATCTGCAGTGTGTGATGCCAAGTGAAAACTTCAAAAACATGCCGCAATAAATCGACGAAGATTTGAAATAGAAGACAAAAATCATATATATTATTTATTGGTTTGCCTAGCAAAAAGTGCCTCAACCGAACGTGCTTCGGTTGAGGCACTTTGGTCAACCAAATCTTCTTTTCTGGAATAAGGTTTGTATCCTCCTTTCAGGAGGAGTCCCAACATATGTATAGAAATATACTGGTATTTATATCCAGCCAACCATAAATGCATGACAAATTATACATTGAAGATGTTGAGTAACTGATGCAGACTCACTCAAAGTTGAGGTTCTAGCCAAGATGTGCCCTGCCGTTTTTCGGATCCCTAATCGCGATCCAGTCGAAGCCACTGCTGGCAACCGCGATGCATGCAGCACTTCCCTTCTGGGAGAGCGGAAATGGCAGTTAAAGTGATACGTTTGGAATCAAAACGCTTTCCACAAGCGGTCTGAACAGGGGTACCATTCCAAGTACACACACCAGCATGTTTGTCAGTGCATTCAATCATGGCATGGTGTAACCATCTATGGACTCCTATTGCAAGCATTTGGCCTGCATTGGTCTGAGACTGAGGCTGTTCAGTCACTGATGATGCCGAGGACGCTGAAGAGCTCGTTGAATCGGATGATTCCGAATCTGACACCAAATCAACTTGTGATGTCAATGCATGAGGTGTTGTGTCAATCCAATGCAACACTGACAGGGTCATCGGTGCTAAACACTTTTTGAAACGTTCCATCACTACCTCAGGTTCTGATGCTGGCATCTGGGCACCCCGGTGCTGTGGCGTAATCGGTCGCCAACCTGAGATCACCTGATGGATCAAGCGATGTTGCAGTTCAAGTTGACCATTAACGTCATCACGTGAGTACAAGGAAACACTGTGCTGAATAGGCTTGTGGTGACCCTGAAGTCGTCTCATCTCCTCCGTGATGATACCCTGATGGCATAGTTGAGAAGCCCATGACAAAACTGTAGCTTTCATGCCATGTATAGAGTATGAACCAGCATCAATTGAACTTGTGAGAGAACTGCGTTTCCATGGAATCGTCAAGAAATACCTGAACCAATGCAGTGCTTATGGGTATGACAACGGCTGAAAAGGTTGAAAAAGAACTCCATCCTGAAATTGAGGAATCACAAAGTCCAAGTCTCCCTCCGATTGTGCCGCAAGGATGGAATCCCACTCACGGATGAATCGACTCATCCAAGTTGCTGTGCCTACTGACAGGAACCCTGATGCCCTAGCTCCCCAAGGTTGACCCTTGGAGCAGGTTTTGGTGCGCCAACTGATGCCCCGTATCTCTGTTGTGGAGCAAACCACTGAGCTCACTGTAACCCGTTGAAGGTCAGAATATCTAAGGCCTGACCAAATCATCAGGAGAAACCCACCAATGATCATGAGTTCATGTTGTGGTACATTCGCCTGCAACATGCGGCGCTCCCACTGGGTAACCACGTATAGTGGGAGGGGCAACGACTCCCGTCGATCTGCAGGAACTTTTGATTTCATCCATCCCTGAATCAAAGGTGAGTCCAAAAATAACCATGTTGGGATGTCTGCGTACTTGCGACACCATTGCAATGATTTCAACAGAGTAGAGCCTTTCAGGCCAGAGTTTCTGGAGCCCCCTTGCAGTACATCCAAAATGGTAGCAGCTGAGATGGCGGCCAAACGTAGACCCGAATCGTGGCACCAAGACAAAAACTTTGAAATGCAAGACAAATATCTGTGTAGCGTCGATGCTGCAAATGCGTCCAAAATGACACTTGCCAATTGACTGAATTGAGCGTGACTGCCAATGTCTGCAAAAACCCTGGAAAGTGTCCCCAAGGCCGTCCAAATTTGAACCCACAAGTTCACCAAAAAAGTGATTGAGCTCGGAATCTTGGTCCTGATTAGGGTCGAGGCTGATGTCGGCCCGGTGCCATCGTGAGACGTCTTCGCCCGTTTGTCGCCTGGAGCAGGGGGCTGGTGATCATAAACATGAGGGTTGGGCCTGCATGTTGTCAAAGAAGCTGAATCAAACATCAAACTGCGAGGGCGAACATCCGTCATGGATCGCGGTGGTTCAGCAGGTTTGCATTTCGCTTGTGACACCATAGGTAATGAGTTGATCATACCAGGATGTGAAACTGAAGGTGGAATCAATGGGTTGCCCAAATTCTCCAGTGAAACTGCCAATGTTGGTGGTTGTCTGGGCGTCACAGCAAACTGAGTGGGACGCAATGGTTCTGCAGTAACGTCTGAAATCAAATGCCAGTCTGAATCCGCAACTGATGAAGTCTCAGCATCAACTGTTGTCTCAATCTGAACTGAGTTCCCCATGTTTGCAGCTACATCCGCACGTTCAGGACTGCCATCGCGTCCAGCTACTTGGATCGCCCCGGGAGTGCACTACAGTGAAAAAGTTGACAAGACCCAACCTGAAATGTCATGAAAAGCCCAGCATGTTGACCTGGAAAAACGTGAATAAACGCCACATATTACTGTTTGAAAAAGAAATTGAGTCTAACCAGCCGTGTGTTGTTTCCTGTTTGTGTTTGGTTTTTTTGAAAGAAAAGATGAAAGCCGCAACATAAGAATGTCACAAAAGCCACTTGAGCCAAAATGTACAAGTACATAAGGAAGATCTTCAAAAGCAACATGAACAAGTACATGAATAGTGTGTAAAAGCGTCTGTGTGTAAAAACTTCTGTGTGTAAAAGCGTCTGTGTGTAAAAGCTTCTGTGTGTAAAAGCTCCTGTGTGTAAAAGGGTCTGCGTGTAAAAGTGTCTGTGTAAAAGCTTCTGTGTGTAAAAGCGTCTGTGTGTAAAAGCGTCTGTGTGTAAAAACTTCTGTCTCTAAAAGCTGTGTGTAAAAGCTTTTGTGTGTAAAAGCGTCTGTGTAAAAGCTCCTGTGTGTAAAAACGTCTGTGTATAAAACTGTCTGTGTGTAAAAGCGCCTGTGTGTAAAAGTGTCTGTGTGTAAAAGTGCCTGTGTATAAAAGCGTCTGTGTGTAAAAGTGTCTGTGTGTAAAAGCGTCTATGTGTAAAACTTCTGTGTGGAAAAACTTTTGTGTGTAAAAGCGTCTGTGTGTAAAAGCTCCTGTGTGTAAAAGTGTTTGCGATGCAAACTATTGTCTTGTACTTGTGCTATATTGTCTTGATACTCCTCTTCTCGTCTGCCTATAACACGTCTTTAATATTTTTTTCCTCTGGTATGGCCGATCACGCTCTAAGGCTCGGTCCTTACATGTGAAGAAGCAGTTTGAAATAAATTCTACATTGACACCTGTGGTCATGTAGCATGGCAAATCAAAAACCCAGAACAAAACACAAAAACAACCAAAGAAAAGGCGACACGCAGATCTCCCAGCCAGATTTGCGTTTCGCCATCCAGCAGAGAAGCAAAGCAAAAAGCGAAAGGGGCAGGGCCCAACAAAAACAACCACGAACAAAGATTTGCCATGGACTTTTTTTCCGTCCAACGCCAGATGGCTCTCGCCAGGTCGTTTATCAAGCCGGAAAGACAATTGCATTGTGCAAATTCACCAAATTAATGCAGTGGCAACATCAGTCATAACGACAATGTGATACAAAAGAGAACTGAATTGGATCGATACATAATCCATTGAGCTGTCACCGTGCAAGACAAGAAAGCAAACACCAAAAACCCAAAAACAAACAAAACAAACAAAAACACCCAAAAAAACACGCAAAAACCACAAACAAAAAGACAATTGGAAAATGCAAGAAGAGATGATAACATTGTATCACCTCAGGGATTGGTATGGCAATGTAAAACAAGAGCGAAACAACAAACCTCAAAGCGCCATACAGCAATCTGTGAGCCAGAAGCAACAGATGCACATTGCGGAAACCCTCGAGATCACAGAGTGCAAGCGGCACGGGCAACATTCTCACAGATTATGGATACGATCCAAAAGCCAGCAATGACGCTGTCATGTCGCATCTGGAAAGTAGAAATCGTAAAGTGAAACGTGTGGAAGCGGATCTAAGGTGAAACGACAAAGAAAGTACTGGCGCTCAGGGGCCACTCAGAGTCCTCTCATGTGTCTATCATCAGGCTTGATGTAGGTTCTGGCTCTTGCAGGACATCTTCGTGAGTGGGGTCCGGTAGATTAGCATAGTGCTCTTCTGAAGTCGTGCTAGATCCTTTTTCGGCACGGGGCAGCAGCAAGAGAGCTTTCTGTGCTTGACTGACTTCATAGCTCGCTGAGATCGTGCAACTGTCCAAAATGCAACTAAGTTGATGTAGTTGCCGCGTTGCATTGTCAAGGTCAGTGATCCTGGGGCGGAACTTCTGGGATGCCCCGGAGTTTCTGGCACGCTTTCTCTAAAAGTTTGGTGGCAGTCTCAATTTCTTCACCTGTAACTTGGCACAATGTCAGCTGGGCAATTGATTTGGTCATGCGGTTCAGCGCAGCTTGTTCCATTTTGGATATGTCGGTAGGGGCAGGCTGTGTCAATTGGATAGCTGTAGCACCAGTTGGTGACTTTTTTTTTTCCCTTCTGGTGTGGCCGATAACGCTCTGAGGCTCGGTCCTTACATGAGAAGAAGCAGGTTAAAATAACATCTACATGGACACCTGTGGTCATGTAGGTTGGCAAATCAAAACATAAAAACAAACAACAACAAACACAAACCGCAAAGGGCGAAACGCAGATCCCCCAGCCAGATATGAGCTTCGCCATCCAGCAGAGAAACAAAGCAAAAAGCGAACGGGGCAGGGCCCAACAAAAACAACCACAACCAGGATTTGCCATGGACACAGTGGTGAAAAGCCACTGCGTCGTAACTCACAAAAAGATGCACAAACGAATTGGTATCTACCCAGAAATGTGAAACACGCTTCTTAATTGTTGTTGCTGACAGACAACAAAGGAAAGCATGAGCTGTACACTATTGCAATCTAGCCTCTCAGAGTCCTCTTACAAGTCCTTGCTCAGGTGTTCAATTCAAGACGAACAGTATTTGCCATGTACAGAAAGGTGGGTTCAGGAGCACGAAGAGCAAATTGTTAGCAGCTAACTTGCAATAGTACCGCCCCCCTTCCGGGGAGCAGCTCCGTGGCAGTGACAAGGACGGTCACATAGGGCAAGGTAGGTGACCAGCCAACATCCGTCACTCACCAAATTCATCACTGGGCAGCCATGAATGATGTACCAGGTTGAAGGGGAGACAATCCAGTCGCAAGATGCCGAGTCAGCAAAACATTGTGGCATGACCAGCCTGTAGCCGCAATAGGAAACCAAATTTTTAAGCGTGCATAGTTACAGGGCGCCCAGTTGGAAAATATCCTGCAGAACTGTTCAGGTGCTTCCCGAGCTTCTTCGTCTCAGTGCCATACTGCAGTGCATTGCATCGTCGCAGCCATGGGGTTCAGCAAGAAATCCAGAATAAGCTTCCACTCACCCACCGAGTGGGCCAGCTGGATGCCACCGACTCCGGAAAAAGGACATCCGATCCATGTGCGCAGTCTTTGCTGCTCACGGGCGCCCCGGGCTGTCCCACAGAGAGTGCCACTGGGTCGCGCCAGTGTAACTCGCTGCTTTTTTTTGCCGGCGCCCGTTGCCTTGCGGCGGGTCACCACTTGAGGCTTACTCGCGGACCAGCGGGGAATCGAACCACCGCCGGCAGTCTGTCCGCGTCGTCAAGAACGACGCCCTACCAACTGAGCCACGAGGACACCTGCGCCAGTGTAACTCGCTGCAGTGCAGCCTGGTCCATGGCTCCGGTCGGCTAGATCCTACTCCCCTTTCAAAACAAGACAGACGTGCCAGAGGGACGAGGCGACAGGACAGCCAAGACAAACAAAAAGCAACAAACGAATTCAGGGACAAATCAACCTCCAAATGTGACGGGAGGGAGGAAGTCACTGTGGCGGGTGTGTGTGATGTTGGGGCCGGCGGTCCTCTGCAGTCCTCACTTAGTAAGCTGGCAACAAGCACAGCCCACCAAACCAACAACAATACGGGAAGAGCAGACCAGCAACACCAGACAAGAACAAAACCAACAAACATAACAAGAGGCCAAACAAAAAAGGGACAACGACACCAAAACACACACAGGCAGCGAAGCGGGCAGAGAAAGCCAAAGAACGAACAGGAACGAGGGGAAGACAGGAGGCGGAAGCCAGCAGCAGCAGGACAAGAAGGGGGGCCCGGGGGAGGCAGCAAGGACAGGAGGAGGAAGCAGCACGAGGAGAAGGGCGCATGCAGCTAGCGGCGTCCTGAGGGGGCATCTGGATCACCCAAAAGTGAACACCTCAGTGCAGGAAGGAAGGGCACCGGAACAACACTCGCAACATGGTGTAGAGGGCGAGCCGAAGCCTTTGTTGCCATGAGGAGAGGTGAAGACAGGTGCCAAGCCGTCACAACACACCATGCCACAGGCATGACAACCGGGCCGTCGCAAATACAACCAGATACCCAGAGGGAGGGACCAGCAGACCACTGACCGGACCAGAAGGCACTAGAGGACTAACCGAGGGGGCGGGGAGGGCAGGGGGAACGAAGCAAGGAGATCGGTCATGCGTAGAGTAGTATGTTCAAGAAAGTGTGTTTTTTTTCCGTCCAACGCCTTCATGGCTTCCGCCAGGTCGTCCAACACGTTCAATTGCATGTTGCAAACCAGGGTTTATTGGCTAATTAATGCATACATGGCCGCCTGCAGATTGAGGGGCTTCAAGAGTGATCTGGTAAAGGACCTGTACATAGTCCAGTCTGTCACGACGTCTTTTTTTCCCGAGAGCGTCTGAGCGCAGGGTTCTTCCAATAGTGGGGGTCTGTAAAACATCTTCTCATCTTCACATCTCATCTTCACATCCTCTCATCTTCACATCTCATCTTCGCATCCTCTCATCTTCACATCTTTTCATCTTTACATCCTCTCATCTTCACATCCTCTCATCTTCACATCTTTTCATCTTTACATCCTCTCATCTTCACATCTTTTCATCTTTACATCCTCTCATCTTCACATCCTCTCATCTTCACATCTTTTCATCTTTACATCCTCTCATCTTCACATCCTCTCATCTTCACATCTGCTCATCTTCACATCCTCTCATCTTCACATCCTCATCTTCACATCTGCTCCTTCCTTCTCATCTTCACATCTGCTCATCTTCACATCTGCTCTCCACATCTTCACACCTTCCCATTCATTCACATGCTCATCTTCACCTTCCATCTTCACATCTTCTCATCTTCACATAGCTCACTTCACATCTGCTCATCTTCACATCTGCTCATCTTCACATCTGCTCATCTTCACACCTTCCCATCTTCACATCTTCTCATCTTCACATCTGCTCATCTTCACATCTGCTCATCTTCACATCTGCTCATCTTCACAT